TGACAACTAAAATAAAGACATTGTTAGAAAGCTTATAACAAGAACATTACAAAAACACCAAATTAAATGGCGAAAAAATCCAAGTTAATGTGACATAAAACTCCGAAGATATGAAATATATACAAATTACCAATTTTCATATTTATCAGATATATTTGCCTCAAAATATAATTGTGGACCATGAGATTTTTATTGCGTCCCACGGAGTGATGTAACGGTCTGGTGATATTCATTTGAGAAAATCGATACAAATGATATTCTAATTAAAATTAAATTGATATGAATTAATAGTTATTAGTAGTATAAGTACTTACAGATTTACAGCAACTACTCCACTTTGTACCGTAGTTGCTGTAAATCTGTACCCTGCCAGGCGAGCAACTACCCAATTCTCTCCATACTCCTATAAATCACCAGGCGAACACAACTTTATAAAATATCTCACATTCCTTATTGATTGTTACTGATCGAACACGCCATCGCCATTTTAGTCATTCGCTGGTTAGTATTAGGTTCAGACATGTAGTGTATGGTTTAAACAGTATTTTATTTCTATTATACAATAATTCGTAGAGTGTGAATAGGGTTTCGGAAACAAGCCAAGGCTTATGTTAATCCGTCACCAAATACAATGTACCTAATACAGAAAACATAAATGAATAGATAAATAAATAGGTAAATATTAATATATATAATAATTTAACAATAAAGTAGTTTGATAGTTACAACAGTTGATTATGTATATAAACATATGAAGGAAAATGGGCAAAAGTGCATAGAGTGTAATATGATTATCAAAACAATAATACATAATAGCAGGAAAATATATACTTGTACACGGTATTTACCTAGGAGCCTATAGATGAGATAAGCGCTCATAAGACGATTGGTTTGGCCTAATTTCAGGTTTCAAATAGAAATAATTTCAATAATTTTACATTGTTTAACCTTAATATTTATATCACATTTCAAATAGAAGTAATTTCAAAAATTTTACTTTTTTACTTGTTTGAAATATATAATTATTACAGGTAAGTTTAACCTTAATATTTGTATATAATTTTACATTGTTACCTGTTTGAAATATCAACTAATTACAGATACCTGTAACCTTAATATTTATATCACATTTCAAATAAGAGTAATTTCAATAATTTTACATTTTTACCAGTTTGAAATATATCATAATTACAGGTAAGTTTGACTTTAATATTTATATCAGATTTCAATAGAAGTAATTTCAATAATTTTACATTGTTACCTGTTTGAAATATATCATAATTACAGGTCAGTTTGACTTTAATATTTATATCAGATTTCAAATTGAAGTAATTTCAATAATTTTACGTTGTTACTTGAAATATATCATAACTACAGGTAAATTAACCTTAATATTTGTATCACATTTCAAATAGAAGTAATTTCAATAATTTTACATTGTTACCTGTTTGAAATATCAAATAATTACCCGTAAGTTTAACTTTAACATGTATGTTTCACATTTCACTTCAAATTAGTTTCAGTATTTTTATGTTGTTACCTGCGTAAGGCATTAATTTATTACAGGAAAGTCTATTTTCTCCTCACACTTTTCCAGTAGAAATATTTCAATAATTTTACACTTTTACTGATACACTGTCACAAATAGAAGTTAGGATCAAATGATGGCATTTAAAGGTAGGAATAAGTAGTCCAGATTGTGTTCATAATGATATTCAAAATTCATAATATGAATGAAATCTAAAATTCCATATTCTTTTTAACAAGGAAAATTAATATTAAGTGATGAAGGAAGAAGAGTATCATATTTTAATTTGATTAATTATTCCATTGATACTTTGTCAGTTGTGTTGACAAAAGGGCTATCAGTTTCACATCTGATCTTAAGTTTAAGTTTTGTACCATTAAACGGATTGTCAAAATGGGATACTGTCTTGACGAGGAATACCTTGTTATCACGCATCTTGATAAATATTATACCGTCGCTTGTCCAGGCAGATTCTATCTTTTTTTTCTTTTTGAAGCTTTATGGTCATTTATGACAGGTTTGAGCGAATTTTTGTGAGGTCTTCGTTGATATATATCCTACGTCCTCGGAACAACTTTTATTTACTTCTGCATTATCTTCGCCACGTGTAGAGTTTGTTGGTGCCATTTTTGTCAACCAATCATTGACATACCAGAGTTCTTTAATTCGATTTGCATTTTTGATGAAGGCTCGTTTAGTATGATATCCCTTAAATTTGCAAATTATCTGTCTTGGACTTGAATCTGTCCCCGATGGAGGCTTTCCCGTCCTGTGGCTTCTGTTAATGTCATCTACAGAAATTTTTGCACCAGTTAAATTTCCTACCTGGGCTTGTTCATTGGTGTCCTTATTGTTGGTTTCGGGAATTCCAGAGATTCTCAAACCTTCACGTCTCATATGCTGTTCTCGTTCATCGTCACGTTCATTTAAACTTTTAATAGCACTATCTTTCTCATTTAGCTTCAATTTTAGTCCACTAACTTCATCTTCTAACTTTATCAATTTATTCTTAAGTTCAGGTATGATGAGATCAGACAGTTTGTTGGCTAATTTGAAAATAACTCTGTCATCTTAAAAGGCTGCCACCACCTTTTCGATACTAGCGTCCTCCTTACTGAACTCAGACAGTATATATTAATCGAATTTTTTTAAATATTTTCTAGATGTTCTGAAGAACTAGAACCAAGTTTTTTACGTAGATATTCCGGATGCCATACTCAGCTTACGAAAAAAATACCTGACAATTTTTTTAGTTTTGTCAACAAAAGACCTCTATGAAAAGTAGACAAACTTTATAGCGTCTCTGGTTACACAAACGATACTCAACGTAATTCACACAAGACATCCACATATAACGTCCACATTTTATAACTAATATTATTCTTTCTTTTCAGTTCAGAAAATGGGATTTGATAAAACAAACATTAGATACTAAACAGCTAATTGAGAGTGATATGAATGAAGATAACTGTATTGATAACACAGAATTAGAAAAAGAGCTTTAAAAAATTAAAACATTGATGATAGCGAAATTAAAACCTATATTCAACAACAATTGGCGAATGTAGTGGATTAAACTCAGTTACAAAATCTACTGGGTATAGATAACATTATAACAAAGTTTTAAAACAGACAAAACAGATTCAATTTAATTATAATTAAATTGAAGCGGTGGATTTAAAATTGAATAAAAAAATTGACTTAAATGATAAACAAATTGAAAAGGAGATTCATAATAATAAACATTTCTGTTTTTTAAAGGGAATGAAAACACCCATGGAAAAAAGAAATAGAAGATAACTACAAACAAGAGTGGAAATCTTGCGATGAACAAAATTGCAAGCATGTTTCAGAATGTAATCCATCGACCCATGCACCAACACCACAACTTGAAACTATGTATGCGTGGGATTGTGAAGCTTACGCAGAAGAAACTGGTAAAATAACACCATATGCTTGTACTTAAGTTAATCTGGAAAAGTTTCGAAAAATGTTGGAAAGAATAAATGGAGTTTATCCAGACTTAAAACCAACAGATAATATTCCCGAAGAGTTTTATGAAAAACTTATGAATATAGTTCACATATTTGTGGGAGTAAACTGTATAGATCAAATGTTGAAACATTTATGTTCTGTCGGTCAAAAACAGTTAACTCTAATTTGTCACAACGGTAGTGATTTTGATAATAGGATAATTATTAAAAATATGGCAAAATTACCTCATTGTCCTCTCAAAAACAGTACAAGGATATTTCGTATAGCAATATCTAATCCTTTTACAGAAAAAAGTTTACAGAAAAAATGGAATAGTAAAAAGAAATTTATCAACAAAAACAATCATTTTCAAAAAATAAATTTCACCTGTTTCTATCAACATCTAGCAAACAGTTTAAAAGATTTGGGACAATCATCAAAATTACCAATGTATGTAAGAAAGATTGATTTAGATATCACGGAATTTAACGAAACAAATTGAGAACCTCGAAGAGAAGAATGGGAGCCTTATGCTAAAAGAGATACAATATGTTTAGCAGCATGTTTGATGAAATACAATAAAGTCATGAAATCTATGATAAATCAAACTATTATAAATAATTCAACAGCACCTTCTCTGTCTCTTAAAGGTTGGTATTATTTCACGTTCTAACTTGATGCATTTTTGATGAACGGTTTTTTAGTTATTGCCCTTGACTTTGTAAAAACGAGTCAAAATTTGTTCGTGAGCACAATAGTAGCTACAGTTTTCAACCTATTCTGATGAAACTGGGTGTGATCATTGAAATTGATAAGATCTCGGTAGAACCGACGCATTTTCGATGAAATGTTTTTGAGTTATTGTCATTAACTTACGACAAACGCGTCAAAATTTGTTTGTGAGCACAATAGAAGCTACAGTTTTCAGGCGATTTTGATGAAACTTGGTGTGATCATTGGAATTGATAAGATCTCGGACAAGTTCTAACAAGAGATATTTTTGATGAACCTTTTTTGAGTTATTGCACTTGACTTTGTAAACACACGTCAAAGGTTGTTTTTGCCCTTGATTAGGGCTGTGTGATTTAATTGTTTGTTGTATTTGGGTTATTGATATTGATTTTAAAAATTTTTTTGGAATTATCAGTATAAATAACTGGCATATATATATATGTAATTGAATTCAAACTAATAAAATTTTTCAATATGAGAAAATTTGTACTTTAGTCACTAAAGACTGTTTTATTGTTTCTGACAGCTGCCAGTGGGCGTATGTTACCTTGCATCGCCAGCTATCTTTTACCTCGAGTTCAGGAACTTTCTGTCCACAGCCAGATCTTGTTTTCAGGTCCTCATTTGATGTGATCTATGTTTCTTCCAAACCATTGTCTGAAAGGCTGTTGTTCTCATTGCCGTCTGTATGATCAGCATCCTTTACTTGCCTCGTGTTTCGTGTGTTTGCCTGGCATGGCGATTATTTAGGAAAAAAACTGAAAAAATAATACAATGAAAAAAGCCAACTACAGTGCATAAGCAGTGGCGGAGCTAGGTTTACGTCCAAGGGGGCAAATACCTGAGGTTGTCCGAATTTCTAACCTAGGTTTTTGCCCGGCTCCGGCTTCGCCACTGTGCATAAGCCTGCCATGACAGTGACTGAGGTCAACTGTCGCTAAGCGATAAGGGAAATAGGCTGCGATTCTCAAAATATAAATTTACAACAATAAATTAACACTTTATGATTTTGGTATATAATTAATATACTTGGTATTTGGTATGATTTTTTAGGTATAAGATGTACAATTTTTGCATATGATTTTTTCTTGTTAGATTTTTTTCTGTTTTGGCATTCCATAGAGGTGTTTGATGAATTTCCCAAACTTTGATTTCATTTTAACCATAGATTCTGATAATGGCTTTTATATTCACAATATGTATTAGTAGCAAATGTAAACCTTTTGAATTTTACATGATTAATATTAATAACTGATGAATTTCTATTACCAGGAAGACCTACAAGTGTTAAAAATGGATATAGAAGCATGGGAATGGGATACTTTTCCTAATCTAATTCAAACTAATTCAATATCTCATATAAAACAATTGTTTATTGAATTTCATACTGATAAAAAATGTTCATTATCTAAACCTGGTAAATGTAGTCGATATATCTCAGGTTTAAAAATATTCCATGATTTATATGAATTAGGCTTTCGAATATTTTGGACTCATAAAAATCCAGCATGTTTATTCAAATCAAAATTCACAGGTGAAGAACTCACTTTTTGTCATGAAATTTATTTTGTTAAAGTTTCATAAATATTTCACATCACCATTAGGCGCTTTTTACACGCCCACATGAAATGGGGGCGTATATTGTCGGCATCCATGTCCGTCCGTCCGTCGATCCGTAAACACTCGAGAATGCACAATTCTTGACAGGTTTAGAACAAACTTGGTAATATTATTCATATCGCCTCAAACAGTTCAAAAGAAGTGTATGTCTGAAGGTTAAATATTTCATACTGGTAATTGTTACTGTACTGCCAAATATTTTTATTTAAAATCAAAGCTGCCAGTGGGCGTATATTATCTTGTCTTTATGTATATCGGTCAGTGCTTCTCAACCTGGGGTGACATTTTGCGGGGTGAAAAAAGCCTGTGGGGTGAGTAAAAAAAACGGGGTGAATGGTCAGAAAAGGGGTGAACTAATATGAGACGTCAACAAATGTGGCTTCATTCTGAAGTAATTGACAAATACCTGAGACTCGCTACCTGCACTCAAAAACTATTATTGCCATCCCTTCATCATATATAGTAGAATGCAGGTTTAGCGCGGTGACTAAGATTTTTCCAAAAAGCGCGGATCTCTGCATGTTCCTTAAGCACCGGTAGCATATACTGTTTACCTGTGTCTGAAGCTGACCAGACTGATACGTTAAATCTTTGATTCGTGAACATCAACCTCAGTGCTCACACTAAGAACTATACCTCTTTATCAAAATCTGACGATATCAATATTGATTATTTTTCGTAATAAAAAGTTATATTCAATAAATGTGAATAAAATTATTTACTTGATTATTGAAAGAGAGCAGTGGCTTCTATTAGTGCAGAGGTATATAGGTATTCACTTTATTTGGGTTGTTTTTTTGTTTTAGATTTTTAGTTTTTTGTTTGTTTTTTTTTTTTTTTTTGCTCAAATGTATGTTTTAATGATTTTCAGTGGCGAGGTTTTTTTTTCTATATGGGATTGTACAAAAGGCGCAGGTGTCAAGTGAGCGCCATTCCAGCCAATTTGGAGCCACCACGTCAGTCATGATGTTACTTTTAGGTAGTTGTTTAAAATTATATATCAATTTTAGCACATCAAATTATAGAGAAATGTTTTTTTTTCTAATGATACCTAAGTCTCAGAAACGGGAATTCTTTAGCTAATACAATTATAGTGTTCTCAGCTCACCGTGGAAATCTGAGCCACCAGAATTACCCTCGTTTGAACGTTAAGAATACGAGTCGTGTCTTCTTGAGACACTGCCATACATAGGAAAGACATTGGAAAAGAAATTCCTATAGTTTGAGATAGTTTTTAAGGATTAATGCGATTTTTGTACGTTTCTATTATTTCTGAAAACTATTTACATATATTCAAGACTCAAATCAACCCCCCAAAATGGCGCAACTGTCCCATTTATGATTACACTTTATAAAATGATTGCATTTTGTACCATATGGACCATCTCCTTGTAAACCTTCTGTTTATGAACCGTCTCCGTGCAAACCTACTACTTGTAAACCTTCTAATTGTAAACCTTCTCCTGGTAAATCGCCTCCTTCTTCTGCTTTTGAACCATCTTTTTGTTAACATTCTCCCTCTAAATCTTCTAGTGGTAAACCTTCTCCTTGTAAGTCTACTACTAATAAACCTTCTACTTGCACACCTTCTCCCTGCAAGTCTTCTTCTTGTAATCTTACACTTATAAACCTCCTACTTGTGAACCTGCTATTTGTAAACCTACTACTTGTAAACATTCTACTTGTAAATCCTCTAATTGTAAACCTTCTACTTCCAAATCTTCTCCCTGTTAACCCTCTCCTTGCAAACCTTCTCCTTGCAAACCCCCTACTTGTAAACCTCCTACTTGTAAATCTTCTAATTGTAAACATTGTCCCTGTAAACCCCCTTTCTTCTTGTATGCCTACTACTTGTAAAACTTCTACTTCAAACCCTTCGTCCAATTCATTTGCAGTTACAGAAGGTCGATCCTTAAATTGTGTCTTTTTCCTCGATATTTTTTCTAAATTAATTATAAATATTGTAAATACTCTAATTTGCATTTAATTGTACGTCGGAAATAAAAATGGAAAAACCACAAAACCATTGTATGTAAGTTATTGCGTGGCAAATCTATCGATTTGTCACGCTTTGCTTTCGTTATGTTTTTTTTTTTGTTTTTTTTTAGGGGGAACGTCCCTAGACAAAATCGAAAATGGTACAGCTTAATTGACTTCACCAAACATTTTTAAATGACCATCAAAAATGAATATCTAAAACTCAATTTTTGCTAAACCGGAAGTGTGCTATTGCATAATGTGCGAATATTTTGCATCAAGTCTGTAGGGATTATTTATGAACCGATTTACCTGAAATTTTCTTTAATATGTTCATTGTTATAAGACGTTTCTGGTGAGACTAAAAAAATTCAATTTTTAAATCTTTTTGTCAAAAAAATTTGAATCCAAAATTATTAAAGAGGCTCAAAATTTCTAACTCAGCCGCTAATTATCCGATTGATCTGAAATTCACAGGATATAAACAGAATGTCCATAAAAAATAAATTTATACAATCAAAATTTTTCTATCACTTCCGGTTTTTGAGTGAGAACTTCCGGTTTTTTTAAATCACGCCTGGCACCCCCACTTCCGGTGTAAATTTCAGATGTTGGCAAAAGCCATATATATTGTCTGTCAGTCATAATTAGAAGTCACTTAGCAGAAAAAATACAAACCGGAAGTGATGCATAAGCCGTCGCCTAGGACTGACCCATTTTAGCAAAAAATTAATTAGTCCTCCATTTTTTTTCCCTACTTTTTTGATTGTGGTGTCTATTAAAACCTTGTAACCTTGTCTACAGTTTGTTGGAGCAGAATTTTGAATGTCGAATTTGAATTTTTTTTATATTAGTTTGAATTTTTTGAAAATTCAAAAGGCCACACCATGTGACCCTTACCTTCGATGACCTTGAAAATTTCACTGTAGGATGTTCTTGTCCTCGGCTATCCACAGGTGTACTCATATTGGTTGAAAAATATTAACTTCCGGTTTAATAGCCATTCAAAAATTAACAATTTTGACAACTTTGGACGGCTGTATGACCTTTTCTAATAAACACAAAACATTATTTTTTTCAATTTTGTAATTCCCTTTTAATTATCATTTCAATGATATATGACTATAATCCATTAAAATATGTTTTAAAAATTTGTGAAAATAGGCATAAAAGTGTTAAATATTTATAAAAAATGTGATAAAAATCTGTAGATTGTGGGTATTAAAATGATTGACAGGAAAGCTATCCATATGAACTTTTTGACATGCAGGTTTGAAGTAGTTTGGGACATAAACATATTAATCTGATTATGTAATCTTTTAACACTTAAAAAACTAACTTTTTTTTTCAATTTTTTTTTTCAATTTTCACTTACAATAATTTAACATACACTCATATAGAGTAGTGAATTTTTGATACATTAACCTGTTCGAATTTATTCTGTACCATTAATAGAACTCTATCTGCAAGATACACACAACAGTTTTGGTTATTGGTGTTAGTTAGGCTGAGGGAATAAAAGCAAACAGTGAGCTGTCTCTAGCAAACACTGACCGTGGAATCAGAATACAGAGCAGGATTCTAACCCACAGCACTTAATCGCCTAGCAGGCACCAATTCAACTTGCTTCCGACTGCGCTAATCCTTAGCAATAAAAAGAAAGCGGCAATTTTATCATCATAAAATAAATTAATCTCATTACACTATCTTTAAACTCTATAATAATTCACAGTTTTTTTGTTTTTGTTTTTATTTTTTTCAAAAATGCCCGAATTCTGAGTCCATCAGTGCTCTAGATTATTCAAACGATGTTAGAACCATTAATATGACGCTTAAAACCACATGTGTTAAAGTGACTGATACACCATTAGTGTCTTGCTTAAAAATAGGTGTAGGGTCAAAAGTTATGTTAGTAATTGATTTAAATGTTTCTTTTGGCTTGATAAATGGAAGTTTTGGTCAAGTAACATATATTCAAACTGATCAGAATAATCAAACTGACAAAATCTTTCTAAAATTTGATAATGCTAAAGTTGGAATAAATGAAGGCAGTGTTCCACTTCCAGTATTAGTATTGAGAGATATGAAAGCCCTCATGTTAACTATAAGGGCGATGTTAGACGCCAGTTCGCATTACGTCTCGCCTATGCAGTTACTATTCACAAAGTACAAGGTCTAAGTCTCGATAGAGGCGTAATATCACTTCATTAAATATTCCAAGCTGGTCAAGCCTATGTTGCTTTAAGCAGATTTAAAACATTACAGGGTCTTACAATACAAGATTTACGGAAAAAAACATATAAAAATGAAAATTGAATCGGCATTAGGAGCAATGGATACTTTTTTAAAACCCGAAAAATTCATATAGAGGATTTACAGAAACACAGGAAAATGCTAGAAGGTGATATCATTTGTTTAACAGAAACATGGCTAAATAATTCAATAACTCCAGCAAAACTAAAGTTAAATGGTTTCCGTCTTCACCACCATCCTCAGAGCAGCAGCTATGATGACACTAGAGATTTCAAATTTTTGAAACAAAATGGGCACGGAGTAGTAGGAGTATGTTATAAGCAAAACAAAAATGTCAACATTTTAAAATTGGGAGTTTTAAATATAGAACACATTGCTTTGAATATTTTTGATAAAATATTAACGTAATTGTTATCTATAAGACCACCCGTTTATCGATTAGATTTATTTCTCCCAATGTTAGAAAGATTATTAGTTGAATTACAAGAATCTGGTTCAGACTATGTTATTATGGGGGATATCAACCAAAATATCTTGGAGGGTCATTTGTCTATACTAAATTGTTTTAAAAAATTTGGTGTTCAACAACTTGTTCAGCATTACACTACTGAAGGTGAGACACTTATAGATCATGTTTATATCAGTAAAGAAATTTCGTCACATAATGTTCACATTTCACACATACCTGTATATTATAGCTACCATGAAGCTATTAAAATAACCATACAATAAGTTATATTGATACAAGATTGAATTTACCCTTTGACAAAACATTTCATTTAGCTTGGCTCTTTACTAAAAGTGGTCGAGTCAACACCTGGTTTGAGAGGGTTTGAAGTTCAAAAAAGCCTTACAGCTATCAGGTAAAGTATCACGGGTCACGCTCAGTGCTGTTCACAGGTCTAGTTACAGGGCGTTCGTAAGCGAACGCCCTGGTTTGTTTTCGAATTGATTTTTTTTTTTTTTCGTCCACGGCAGGCCGGTTTTCTCGGCAACGGCAATAGGTACGAGAAAACGGACTTCATGGCGTTTTGTAACTCGTGGCTAATCACTGTTTAAATGTAAAACAAAAACTTTCTGAGCAACATTGCAACAAACGGAAAATGGACTCTAGAGGGCGTGTTTATCAACCGATTTTGATCGGGTTTTCTGCATCGTATTTCTTGTAACAAAGGACAAATGATAGCAGTTGAACATTTTCGATTTTCGAAAATTCGTTGCATACTTTTTTTGCCGAAATTATTCGAAAAATACTATTTCGGTTGTTATCGGACGGATTAACGGACCGCCAGCATAGAGACATAAAAGTACACATTCAAAATTTTTTTATCACTTCCGGTTTCGATGTTAGTACTTCCGGTGGTATCACTTCCGGAGGAATTGAGTTATGTCAAAAATAACATATGCATTATATTACCAGTCTTAATACAAACTTATTAAACTAAAAAAATCCGCACCGGAAGTAACATGTTGGCCGCCATTTTGGTTTGCCTCAATTTGCAGAAATTGCTATTCAGAGGCCATTTTTCATCTGATTTGCATAACTTTTGTGTCAAACGAAACGTTTTAAGTCCGTCTACAATCCTTAGGCAGCATAATTTTGATTTTCGGTTTTGCCTTTTTTGTACGACCGGATGTTTTTTTTCAAAGTTTGAACGCGTATATCTCATGACCTTGACCTTTGATGACCTTCATATTTACTACGATGATAATATGTGATCTTGTATATCTGATGACCTTTTGACCTTTGGGGTCAGACAACTCTTTCCGATTTTACAGGGGTCTAAAAATGGACCATTTTGAGTCTTTGCAGTGCTATATCTCGGTCCCTAATAGAGATATGGCGATAATTCTTTCGATTTTGTAATGTAGAGATTCTGAGGTTTCCAGTGATATAATACATGCATGCCTTACATGCAAATTCAAAACCCATTCACTTAACATGGGACTATTATTAGATAAATCGGCTAATTAGATTAACCTGGCTGTCAACCCCAATATAAATCAAAGTTTAAGTAGTTTTAAAGACACTCTCCCTTTTATATTTCTTTAAAATGTTTTGTGTCCAATTAAGCTATATAAATAGGTTCTAGGATGGATTGAACCTTGTTATACTGTAAGTAAAGTTTACAGAAGCACATTAAAGGCATACCCCCACTTAATTTCGCAACTTTCTTATTTTTTATCCAAATTTCACCAAACTTGGTATGTATGTGTATAATCCAATTCTAAATTTGATGGATATGTCGAATTTGCGTATTGCGCATGCGCATTACTAACTTTCTTATTTCTTATCCGAATTTCATCGAACTTGGTATGCATGTGTATAATCGAAATCTAAATTTGATGGATATATCGAATTTGCGTAGTGCGCATGCGCATTGCCAACTTTCTTATTTATTAACCGATTTTCATCAAACTTGGAATATATGTGTATAACCCAATTCCAAATTTGATGGAAATATTAATTTTTGTTGTGCGCATGCGCATTACTAACTTTCTTATTTCTTGTCCGAATTTCATCAAAATTGGTACGTATGTGTATAATCCAATTCTAAATTTGATGGAAATATTGAATTTTTGTTGTGCGCATGCGCATTACCAACTTTCTTATTTCTTATCCAAATTCCACCAAACTAGGTATGTATGTGTACAATCCAATGCTAAATTTGGTGGAAATATTGAATTTTTGTTGTGCGCATGCGCATTACAAACTTTCTTACTTCTTATCCGAATTTAATCAAACTTGCTATGTGTGTGTATAAACCAATTATATATTGAATGGAAATAACCAATTTTTGTTGTGTGCATGCGCATTACCAATTTTCTTATTTCTTATCCGGATTTCATGAAACTTGGTCTTTATTAATTGACAAACATTCTTTTATTCCTAGTCAATATACTTTAAACTCCAGGCACTTGTGCATGTTTGCATTTAGAGATGCAGAAAAGTATTTACATCAATGTAATTGCAATAGACTATCTTCGTATGTACCTGAATGTCGTAACCCGCCCTGCATCAGTACTGTTATTAGAACAGTTCTAGTTTTCAATTGAAATTGATAAAATGAAATAATAAACACAACCAAAAATGGAATTTCTTGATTTTTATGGTTGGAGGTCAGGTTAAACGGACTATTAATTTATTATGCTTGGGGTTCACGGGATTAATATAAAATTAAATAGTCAAGATCAGTTAGAATTTATATTTGATAGAGATCATCTTCATTATGATATTGAAACACACAATGAAATAAAGACATTCCACAAAGATCTGTACAGTGAGTATCAGTTGGATTATATTGCTTATAAAATGAATGCGCTTAGTCGACACAATAAATTCGGACCAAAAATATTGGATCATCACCAACAATAATATTAATAAAAAAAAATCAATCATTCCATAAGTAATTTTAGCCTGTAGAGTTCTACTATATTTTTTATATCTAAGAAATAGTTATAGGATCATCACCAAATTCGATATTTATATCATCTTCATAATCATATTGACACACATAATAAAAAAAATAAATCCATAAGTAATTGTAGTCTGTTGAAGACAATACTGTACAGAGTTATCAATGAGGTAGTTTATTTTTTATTAAAAAAACGAATGATAATGATATGTAGAAAATGTCACGTGATTTGATTTAATTTCCATATTATTCAAGGAACGAAAAGACAATCTGAAGATTACGATCCCGCTAACATGATCTACTGGTGAAGTTCCAAAGATTACAATCCGCGTTTTAGATTCTACAAAGTCTGCGGTCTAAATTATGTTCTAGAAAGACTAACATTGAAAAAAGTAAATAAGATAAGGGATATTAAACGTAAAACGTAAAATTACTACCTAAGAAATGATCACGATTGCATAACAAAACGATATATCGATTTTCCACAAAATTACGCTTATTGAAGATTAGGTTAATACTTTTAAACACTACAAAAATCAGTGTTTTGCGTTTTCTTATCGAGTAATTCAACAAAATGTAGTGAGGTCCCTCCCCCAAGCCCACGTACCCGTCTGCAAAAAAGGTAGGGTTATATCTGGCAAGATTTGTCGGCACATACTATGATATAGAATTATATGTCTTAAAGCAATAAACATTCATTTATGTTTTGGTATTAGTTTATTGAGATTATAGTTGTACATCTTTGTGACTGCTAATGTGTTAAGAATATTACAATAAATAATAGGAATTAGGGATTATACAGATTATAATGCAGGACGAAACTCGTTATCGTAAATTGTAACTTTCAAGCTCAAGGGAGGCCTACTCGGCTGTGTAATACCTTTGAAATGATACCATATAATTATTATTACAACCTGAACGATATAATATTAAAAACAGATCATAGACTTCTTTGACAAGTCCGTGTTTGATAAATGATAATGGTACTTGATGCTTATTCATCGAGGTAGACAATGCACTATGTAATAGGTTCCGGACCAGTCAGTCAGCATATTGATATACCAAGATAAAGGATGTAAATCATTGATATAGTAATATTATCACCCCTCTAATTCGACTAAACTAATATCACTTTTCAAATCATCTAATTGAAGAACCAATCTGACTTACAGACGCTCCCCCAGCTTGATTGATGTCGCAAACTGGAGTATCCTACGTTTGGTCTTTATTTAAATCTGACTTGTGCCATCAAACCGTTACCTGAAATTCATTACCAATTTACTAAAAAAACTAAGCTTCCCACCCCAGTTCCCGATTTTGGTTTGTGAACGAATTCACTAACACCCTTCGACACCCAAATAAATGGACCCTTGATTAAAATAATGATGTATCATTGATGTTTATGTGACAAAATGAACAGGTTAGGCGGATTAGAAACCACCTCACACAATCTCAGTATATACACCATCCTTTCACGCTCTTTCTTTACACGAGATCAGTCTTCAGTTGTAGCAATGTTCAAAAACAGGTCACATACACAATTTACACAATCACACAAAAATAAAACAAAATGATTATGTTTAATCTGTAGCAGGAATGCCAAGATTATGTTAATCCCGAAACGAAACGAGATTTACCCGAGAATGGAAATATTCCCCGTAAAATTGGTAAAATTAGTAAAATGGTACTGATTAAATTTTTTGACGAAGTGTAAGGCATGTTCGGGACTAAGAGATATACAATATTATAATAAACAACAGTATTGTCTGAAGAACATTAAAGTGAACACCCACCATATTCTTATTCTTTATAGGAACAGACATGAGTAAGACGAATTGCGATTGATAATGAGTTTTGGTTTAGGAGATCTATCGAATCAAAGAACTGTATATAATGTTACAATCACATGGTCATCACGCCCTTGAAACAACATTTCTCCATCAAAACCTAGTAATTTTTGCTTCCTGGCTCTCATCAACGTCCCTACCAGTTTATCTGAAACCCTAGTATATGTTCTGAACAACTCTCCAAATGTTATAGTTGCAGTACCATCGGCTTGTTTCTCACCAGTATCAGAAATGATCCTCGTCAATTTAACAATCTCCAGTGTTATGTGTTCGCTTGCTTGCTTCCCGCGCTTTTCTGTATTGGACCCCGGAATTGGTTTACCGTAATTGGCATCATTCTTATCGAGTTTGATCCTGGTTGAAGCACCGTCCCATTCTGAGAATGGATTGATCATCTGCTTCTCAATATGTTCATCAGACTTCGTCTGCCAAAACTTTACTTTTCCAACAAGAGTCATGTTTGCTTCGGCGAGTTCCAGGCGTTCACTAAATTTAAGCTGATCCCTGAATAGAGAAAGAATAAAACATCATCAGAAGATAATACACTGTAATATAGCATAGGTACTTTATGAAAAGGTATCTAAAGAATATCAGTGAAAATATAATGGTTGTAGCTCCTTTCTTATAGTTATCTTTATGTTACACTTACAGAAGCCATCAACTCAAGCGCAATACATAAAATTTTGTTTCAAAAGGAATCAACATGAACTTAGTAGGTGCAGACTGCCGACTCTACAAATGGGAATATACAGGGAACCTCGTGGATCGTTGGAACAAGGGATCCGAGTACCTGTTCAATTTTCTATAAAAAAAAAAGTTCGTTCGTTTTTAGTTTAAAATCTCCTGTCTTTGTCTTTCTGACACTAAGGTCCCATGCAAAATGGGAAAAGGTGGGGTAAATTCGGCCAAAAGATTAGCATATGGCTCGTGCATAATAAACTAATGTAATAACGAGTGCCTTAAGATGGAACCTTGTTTGACCCCATTGAGATCATAATCAAATTGGCAACAAAATATTATTCATGGCAGGTTAATGATGAAAATAAGAAGTGAGAAAATAATTCTGTGGATTTAATGGCAGTAATAGACACTAATACAGACTTTAACTGACAGCTTTGAGATTCAGCCAAATTTCTTACATGTTGTGGAATATTCCTCAAGAAATGATTCTGAATAGGCTTTAACCAAACTTAAAAAAGTATATTATACAGGTGTACTTGTCGCGGGATCAGATAGTACTTGGTTTATTTAATATAACCATATTACTATTATTATGGTAGTTATATCACAAATAATAGTGAGGAGTATATTCCTCTTGGCATATCATTTTAACAGAGAAATTATCAACAAAGCAATACACTATTACGTCATAGAATCCTCTCCATTACATTCTCAATACTATAACAAGAAAAGCAAAAAGAATGTATACTTGAATATTTATTAACTATAACATGGGTAAAACAGACAACATAATGGAGAAACACACAGCTGTATTATGAAAGGTTATGAGAACATCTAGTCTTTTAATTCCTTATTTCCAGACAATGCGTTTTCTTGCAAACTGTATCAAATTTACAACTTAAATTGAGCACATAAAACATAATATAGACTAATCACAAGAAACAAACTTTGTAAAATTCTACAGAGCGCTTGAAATTATTACTGTAGTACTTTTCAGATAACTATAGGAATGCAAACGGTGTTAACGCGAAGCAAAAGTCATTAAAAAAAATCCTTATAACTCTCATCATGTCATGTTTTTCACTCAAAACCTATTCCGGCAAATTCTTATTCAAATCCACCAGACATAAAACTGGGAACATATTCCCAAACCCGGGTATCTTCTGGAACTTCTAATAAGGTTATAACCACATTTTCATCTCTCCCTTGGTATAACATTTCACCCTCGAATTTCACATAATTCCGTTTCCTTGCTCTTAACAGAATCCCAACAACTTTGTTTGAAACTCGTAAATACGACGAAAATAGTTTTCCGAATGTAACAGTTTTAGTTCCATCTGGTTGGGGTTCACCAATATCGTCAATCGTCATTGTTAAATCCAAAATTTCACCAAAAACATGGTTCTGGGCCTGTTTCCCTCGAATTTCTGTCAGGGACCCTCCAACTGGTTTTCCATAATTTGGATCATTTTTATCCAATTGTGGTCTGTGCGAGGCACCTTCCCAATCCGAGAAAGGATTTATCAGTTGGTTCTCGCGATGATGATCCACCTTTTTCTGCCATTGCGTGACCTGGTCTTTGAAGAAATTTTTAGGAGCTGCCATGGCTGAACATCCTTCCGAAACAAAAACAAATCCGTCTCAATCTGTTTATTGCCAGTTGTTTTCTCTCCAAATAACAGCGTGCATGCATTAATAACCTTTTAACTTACCTGTATAATGTTAAGTGTGCCTATATTAACTTCCAAGAAGTTAAAACTGAGCTGTGATACAATATCCCTCACTAATTTGTAGAGAATAGAAAGTTTACTACTATTACCCGAGGAAGTAGGCCTATACAGAAAAGCGTATCTCAAACATCAATCTCAGGAACGAAATATTAAATTCTTATATAAAAATCACCCCAACGGTCTATTTATAAACTTATACTCACATAATTTAGATGTGATGAATGATGTTTGAAGCTAGTCGATCCTTTACATTCCAATTATCAAAACTTTATCAGTAAACATAGGTTTGGCATTGAACCAGAATATTGTGCGCGATTTCAGAATGAATAAACGACTGGAAGGGCGAGGCTTACGAATTAAAAGAAGTAGGTGGCATTCCAGGATTCCAATTTACAGTAGAGTCTATCTTTAGAATCTTTTATCTAAATATAACGGTAAACATATTTTCAAGCTGAGTTGAACTAGAATTGACCAATAAGGTATTGTTTTTATGAGGTAAAGCAAATATACCAGTAAATATTTCCAGTAACATATCTTAAGTTGTGTAATAAAGCGAGGAATCCATGGCTTTCTGTGAAATTATTAAGATATATATTTATTTCAATATATCTTCTAGATTGTTGCTATGCCAATCTTATATTCTCGTGGCCTGGTTTTAAATCATCAAAGACGATAAGCTGATAAACTGTACAGTGCTGTTTCAGGAAAAGGTAGAACCACTATGTATAGTTGCACTAGGTGTATAAATAAATGTAGGTCTCTAGTAATATAGCACTATAGTGTGTGATGCTGTTATAGTGAGACAGGTCATGCTAAGGAACACTAGTTTCATCTAGGTTAGATAAAAACTGCAGTCTCTATCGTGCCTTCAATCAGGGGCGATAACTCAAAAACCATTCATCCGATTATTACCAGTTTCGAACTTGCCTGAGATCTCATCAACATATGCATGCATACCTAGTTTTATCTAGGTTAGATAAAAACTGTAGTCTCTATCGTGTCTACAATCGAAATTTGACGCGTTTTTACTTAGTCAAGGGCAATAACTCCAAATCCATTCATCCGATTATTACCAATTTCGAACATGACTGAGATCTCACCAATCCATACGTGCATGCCAGGTTTCTTGAAGATCGGATAAAAACTGTAGCCTCTATCGCGCCTACAAGGCAAATTTGACTAGTTTTTATTAGTCAAAGGGAATAACTCCAAAACCATTTATCCGATTATTACCAATTTCGAACTCGACTGAGATCTCATCAACATATACATGCATACCTAGTTTCATCTAGGTTGGATAAAAACTGCAGCCTCCATCGCGCCTACAAGCCAAATTTGACGCGTTTATACTAAGTCAAGGGCAATAACTCTGAAACCAGTCATCCAATAATTACCAATTTCGAACTCAATCGAGATCTCATCAATATATTCATGCATACTAAGTTTCATCAAGATCGGATAAAAACTGTTGCCTCTAATGAGCCTACAAGAAATGGACGGACTGACGGACCGACCGACGGACAAGAGCGACGACAATATACGTCCATATTTCCATGTGGGCGTATAAAAATGAACCAAACTAGGAGGTTTCTATGAAGAAATAATTATTACTCCTATTCAGGCATGAATTGATCTGGTTGTATATCATGATATTGGACCATTTTAGTAGTGGCGGGTGTCAAGCGCGAAGTATAGCATGATTACTATTTTTGAAACACCTGATGATGCTTTTAGAAGGAGTCTAACTTTTACTCCCGATTTTGCCGATTTGGACAATTTTTGACGGAATTTTTCTGCTCCTTATTGAGCTCACACAGACAACGCAATGCAGAATGCTATAAAGGATGGTTTACTTTCAAATTGTTGAAGGATATGCATAGCCAGTTAAACACAGAGCCCCATTTTATGGTCACCAAACTTAAACAATGAATGGACAATCTTTCCTACCATTCCCTTCGTTCTGCATCAGGAGAACAAGCAAGTTATTATTTGCATCTAGCCGGAGCTGGCCATGCCAGTCTGACTGAACGAGACACTTGAGTCGGTTACGTATGGTAATTAGACAGTATTAATGGATTGGGTCTCACAAATAATTGTAATAATCTAGATATAAAATAGGGGTTATTATGACATTGTACTTGGCCTCTGACTATGACCTGGTCACTGAAAAATAACTGAAACTAGTTCCAAAATATTATATCGCCATTGGCAAGTCCACAAGAGCTGGTGCGAGAACTCTTGTTCAATTCGGTTCAAGAAGGTAACTCATACAAGAATAGTTGTGTTGCTAAAAATTTCTATGACAAAAAGAATATCGAAGAACAACCCATTTCAATTTTTATAATCTTATATTATTAGAATTCAGTCGAAGAGATTCAAGGAGGGAAGAAATGATCATCAAAGCAGAATATGATTGTGTACTTCAAAGTGTACATTTTTTTCAACAAAAACAAAAACAACGTAAACACCATCACTGAGCAAAAGTGTAGTTTGATTAGAATTGCTTTTTGTGCCAATCTAGAAGAAATTAAACCAAACCACTAAATTTTATTTTAATAATAGTCATATGGCTACAATTAAAGATAGCCTTGCGAAGCAAGAAGACATACACCCACCAGTAGCTTTGATTGCATGTACAAATTATAGTTCGTAACCTGGAGAGTGAGCACGAGCCAAGTGTGAACGGACGGACGGACGACAATATGCTTCCATACTACGTGTGGGTATATACAAATCAGAATCAATAAAGAATTGTTGCTTGGAAAGTGAGCAAAAGTTGCATTATATGGGTAAGTTGGAAACGACATTTTCATGAAAAATTATCAGATCATCCTGAAAATCGATAGGGATCATCTTCATAATGACATTGGCCCACAGTATAAAAATCAAAAGAATCCACAAAGAATTGTAGCCTTTGGAGTCAAATGTGAACAGACGGACCAACGGGGCGATTACAATATACTATCACATCATGCCCAACATTATAGGCTGGTCGTATATAGATAATGGGTTAGTTCAAATTATTTGCATTACAGTACATTATTTTATAATAGTATTTTTATTCCTTGATACAAAAATTCACCCTAGACATACTTTTTGTATTTAGTTAGAAATTCCTTTTATAGTTATAGATATCATATATAGACAATCTACGTTTTACTCGAAACCACCAGACATAAATTTGGGAATCTCGAGTTTTTCTCTTTTATCTTCAGGAATTTCTAGCAAAGTTATTAACACACCCTCGTCTCTGCCTTGATACAACATTTCACCTTCAAAACTTACACATTCACGTTTCCTAGCCCTCATCAACATACCCACAACTTTATTAGACACTTTTTCATACGCTGAAAATAGTTTCCCGAATGTTATTCTCATTCTATCATCCTCGCCTTTCTCACCAAGAGCATCGATAGCATGACAAAGTTCCCTTATTTCAGCGAATATTTGATTGGCCGCTTGTTTCCCGCGAATTTCAGTTAACGACCCTGGTACAGGTTTTCCATAGTCCGGATCGTTTTTGTCTAATTTAGCTCGATGAGAAGCACCTTCCCATTCCGAAAACGGATTAATTAACTGTTTCTCTCTATGATCTATCTCTTTTTGTTTCCATTTCGATACTTGTCCCTTAAATTCTTGTTTGATTTCTTCACAATTAACAACAACCTTTCGTTGTATCTTTTTATTTTCTGTGGTAGTGGGGGAGTTAATTTTAGTTTGCCACAAACTGACCTGTGTTTTAAAGAGATCGCGGATCAAACTGTTATTGGCTTCATTATTGATCGAACTGTTTCTCTTATGAGTTGTGGAATCAGATTCGGGATGATCAATTTTTGTCTGCCATGATGAAACTCTCTTATTTAACAAATTGTCGTCTTCTGTCGTATCAATCATTCTTGACACTATCCATTTGCCTACAAACAAAAGATGGGAATGACCGCAATCGCACATGCATGCAAAACATTTTATATAATATACAGACCGACGCCTACACAATGGTTTTTGTACGCCATTACCTTTGGTGGATATTTATTGAAAAATTTAACATTATACTGAACATAGTGAGTTCACAGAGTTCAATGAATGCTATATTTTGTACTATTTTAACCCGTAAAATAACACTTAGCACTTAATCCCCTAAAAGATTCCATTTCAGTTTTAGAAAACGCGAAGCAAGCCTAACCAATGAAAAAAAAAGAATCTTTTTGTTAACACTGCACTTCAAAAATACAAACTCTTATACTATTGTTCCAGATAAACATAGAATTGTCTCTTCTTATCACTACACTCAATTACAAGACAGATTACCGGGATTTACCACAATAAAGAATGGTCAAAGACAACGGAGAAAAACTCGAAGAAATGGCATGTCTACATGTTTAATTGATAAGAGCTAGGAAATAGTTAAAGGGGTGGTATTGTCTCAACAACTGTTGAAGTGAGGGCTTGGTCGAGAGGAAAAAGTTTTCTCAAATAACAGGAGAATAAGGATAAACAAGGTAAAACTGCCTCGCACTAGTGCCAGGTAAATCTATAAATAAACTGCACCGTATCAAAACTCAAACATAGCATCTTTATAATGTCTACCTTTTTTTATTGGCTTAAGCCTGCCATTTTACAAACATACCACAAATACAAAATGTATAATGATAATATATCTAAGTTGATGAGAAGAAAACATATATTACCTTTAATTAGGCTAGATGAATATAGAATTCTTCAGGTATAGTACCGCATAATTCTTGTGTGTGGGTCTATCATTACACGATAAGATAGGTGAGAAGAGGTGGATTGGTGCCAACACATTCTGACATTCTTGCACTATTCTCTCCAAGTATATTTATAGTAACTTACATTGGGTAATTTAAAAAATATTTCGAACACAAATAATGATATATTGACTGACCCCATACAATTAGAATGACTGATTAGAATAATAGAGACTATAATGTTAGCAATGATACACCAAGTGACGTTGCTGGCCCGGTATTGAATTTTGTGGCCACTGCTCGGCCCCCCACAACTGATGTTTTTCGAAACGCCAGTGGATATACCTCCACAAAAGATTGAGTAAATGGACAATATTTCGGTGGATTTTATTTCAGAAAACACTTTTTGTTTGACCGGGGATTTGTAGGTCGCTGTCCGAAAAGATCCTATTCGGCAGGTGTTCATCCGGAGATAATCGGACATGATAAAGCAATGTCCAGAAATATAGCCACATATAATAATAGGACAATTTTATAGCATAGTTTAATGGCAACACGATTTTTGTACAGTTTGTTTTTCTTTTGTGATTTGCTTCTGAATTGAGAGAGTCATATCACCAACACACACGTAGCAGTTTTGATTCTTCAAAGTTTCTGGAAAATATTTACTAATAACTTCTTCGGCCTTGGCATCTACCAGAAGCTCGTCAGTAATGAAGGATAAATTAGTAGAAACTAATGAGCAATTATCTCCCCCGGTCTTCATTACATCTACAAACAGATGTTCATTATTATTTTGGTTATAATCAATTACTGTTATAGTCATCACTTTAGTATGGTCTCCAATACAGCATTCGTGAATATCTGTATTCCCAGTGGCTTTATCCACACACTTGCCACACAGGCCATATTGATTTTTGGATTCCGGGTTGATCAGGCTGCCATAGAATCTCGTTCCCTCATCATTGAAACACAAATAGGCTACACCCTTAGTTTCGATTTCTTCCATTTTTGCAATGTTATCTAAAAGAAATAAAATAGTTTCATTACCCTACTTACGAGCTTTTTAAGGACTTGTGAGACAAGCTGGTATATTTCTCAATCATTTAAAAACCTCGACAATCTCGAGGGTCTAGATTTTCTGACCATATTCCATCCAACTACTTTCACCATGTAGTGATTTATCCCCTTTACAAGCTCCTCCCCAGTGGTTTCCACTCTTTTTTAATCCGAGTTGTTCCCTCCCTTAATCAAATTATAATAAACTAATTAAAAACGTAATAATCTTTGATCAATTATTGTAATGGATGAACAATAGTAAATAATCAGGAAGATATTGCAATAACTTGCTTATATATTCTTAATCAGAGATTAGTAAGCATAATATGATGGCATATAATATCATATAAGATTAGTCTTGCCTCATTCAAATTTGATTGATTCAACATGACTGATTTGTGTTCAGATTGCAAATATTGCAATACTGTTGTTAGACTAAGGCAATATGCCATTACATGTGATGAATGTAAAAAAAATGTAGCCTGATAGATACAGGTCAAAGGCACTCTTAATGTGGTGAAATGTCATGAATTCTTTTCATGGTTTTATCACAAGGCACTGTGATAAATGAAAGAGTTTGGGTTTGGAAGAGGCTGGCTTTTTGTGCAATTGTTGAAGGGAGCTAGCATCACACATTCCAGAAAATAGAGCTGAATCAAATTGATTGATCTCTAAGACTAAACGACATGATTTGTTATCATGCCTAATAGGCTTAACATTTTGTTATTGTTGAGAATAATTATACTTCAATGACAACAAATATTATTATCCTTGAATCTTAGTAGTACAGTCAAGTAACCTAATTTCGTGGAAACCTATTATTCGTGGATTTCCGAAAAGGATTAATAATTTACATGAGCGACCTTGCGCGACCTCCGCATTAGTTTTTTTTGATAAACATGGGTTTTCTCTACAATATCAGCCTGTAGAATGAATACAGTATTTTCAAGCAAGGTAAAATGTATCTATACTTTGACAATACAAAATGGCGGATTTCACTTATTACCAAACGATACCATTTTTTATCGGCCGAATTTCCTTATAATCCCAAGCGGTAATCGGAATTCCAAGTGTCGTCTGCTAGAATGTAGTCCAACGAATGAAGTCACGTGATCAACTAGCAGATTCCGTGTCAGCAGAAAATTTCTATTCAACACAAAGTGGACCATATTCTTATGTTATTTCAGTGACTTTTAGCAATAAATCACGCTACGTATCTTATTTTGTCAGTCACTATTTTTTTTTAAAATCGTGGTTCTTGGAAGGAATTGTCACTAGTTATAATGAATTGATATTGAAGATAAATACTAAGAGAAGTTAATTTTACCACCCGGTATCCATACAACGTGTTTTTCTAGACTTATTTATAGATCAAACATTGTACACGAAAATAGGTGAGGCATTCTGCCACCGTTGCCGAGTTGGTTGCTCATGAAATATGGGTCAAAGTGAAGGATTCGTAAAGAAAATCGAAATAAACCAATTTTAATTATTTGGTAGAATATCTGAGGAAACCTCTAAGACATAATTGTTTTTTTTTCCCTTTCTTTTAACTTTGACGAAATTCGGTGTTGAATCCTTATATCCACGAAAATAGGTTACACCACTGTAGTAGTACTCATCCAGAGATGTAAATAATACGTTCTACGTACTCATCACTCTAAAGTAGTTCAGTGCGGCTTTAGTTGTCCTTCGGTTGTTAAAAGACAAAACTGAAAAAGCCTGCAAGATTGTTAATATTAATTTCAAACCGGCTGAATCAATGCTGATCGTATTTTACACAAAATACACAGAAACCATTGAAACTATTGTCTTCATATATGTTGAAAAATCAAAATACCAGTTTGTAAATTGTAAAGAAATACACACATAACGAGATGTTGTGGTCTTTCTCCTACTCGCGGTAGACTTCTCAGAAGAGATTATCTCCCCTGATCTATATATAACCTTGAACTTCTGTTCTTGATGGTAGGCTAGTAGTAATTCATTTATTTTCTTTTATATAAGTACTTTCATAATAACAGTATAGTCAAAACAACTACTGTCATTTAGATAGTATTTAAAATAAAGGTTTCTGTATATAATAATTGTTTATAAAAAACAATTGCTATTTCTTTGTTGCGAAGAAAAAGCTCAACGACCACATCAATGTTTACAAATTACTACCTACAGTTACTGAATCGCATATCGACAATTATGTGTGTGTGAATTTAAATATCAACTTCAAAAGAAAACTTAAAGACTTGGATGTTCTTTGATTTGATTAAATTTTTAACCAATGAAAAAATTATTATATAGAAAAATATGATATTTATAGGTAAGAGGGGAATTTTCCTTGAAATGAATGAATATTGGTACCGTATTTTCACAGGAAATGTCTCTCATAGTCTATAGAAACCAATTAGAAAAAATGTCATCACAACTTATGAGTCTTTGTATATGAGTGTCTAATTTGTCCAAAAATGAATGTACATTCTGTACACATGTGAAAAGAAACTTTATTTCATATTGCAGGTCAATGGCTGTTTCTACAGGGTCTGTAATACAACTGGCACGATTTTCCAAACGTTACTTTTTCACTGCCTTATTTCCAACTTTAACAGGCCTTTTCATATATAAGGACTTGAAGAGAACTGAAAGGTACAAGAAGTCAAAGATTGAAAAGTCTTGAGAGTTTGGAAACTTACAACTTGCAACAGTAACTGAGTAAGTATTCTTAGGTTATATTTCCATTTTATTGTCACATGCTACAGTGAACTCATGTGAAAAATTTGGTATTCATATTCATATACTGATGAACTACAAATTTCCTTAGTGATCTCCGATGAGTTGCTGTGTATGAATACACAACAACTTTCAACTAAAAATAGACATGACGGTGATACAAATCTCAGTTTTGGAGTTTGTGTTGAATATCTGAGTTATTTATTTGTCTTATAGATGAATATGTTTTTTTTTCATTCATTTGTAAAAGAACTCCTTACACTATTTCAATTGTGTTATACAATGTGAATACAAAAAAAAACGATAAGTAAGGAAAAAATAAATCACACGATAACGTACCAACAGTAGGTAATGTGGCTATGTTTCGAGACTCATCCTTTTATCAAACGAAAAAAAAAAAAATTAACAGTATGCGAGGAAGGTGCTATCTCTAAGAAGAAGAACACTAATCTTAGAAAAAATGACACATTCAGCTAAGTTAAATAAACAAGAAAATATTTTTTCAAGGGAGATATTAAATTAAATAGATATAGATCACGCAAACATAAAAGAATAACAAGAAAATTAGATGAAAGAGTTTAAAAAGTTTGATACTACAGTGATAGGCAGAGAAATTGTCTGAACATTTCTGATGAAATTCCCCTTACTGAGGTAGTAAACTTTAAATGTTAGTTAAAAAGGTTGTCTACCTTCTGAAGCAAATTAAAATGGCCTGCTTGTTTATGGAATCGTAAAAGGTGTTTAGATATCATTAATGAAATACTAAGGCCCTTTAGCAGTGTCTATTTATGAATAATGGGCTCCTGAAGATAATACTTAATATCTAACTCAAAATTTTTGTGAAACAAATACATAGGCAAATGAGTTTACATTATCAATTTTTTTTATACGCCCACATGGAATTGCAGACGTATATTTTTCTCACCCCTGTCAGTCCATCTTGCGCCTGTTTGTCGGTCCACATTTCTTGTAGGCACAATAGAGACTACAAGTTTTAACCGATCTTAATGAAACTTGGTATGCATATATATATTGATGAGATCTCAGTCAAGTACGAAATTGGTAATAACTGGATGAAGGGTTTTAGAGTTATTGCTGTTTATGTTTGAGTTTGATAAATTGTTTTTGACTTTTGATTTTTTGAAAATTCATTATTTAGCCACTAAAGACATTATCATTTCTGACAGCTGGTAGTGGGCGTATGTTACGTTGCCTTACAGGCTATCTTTAATATGTATGGTCACCATATTGATACCTGAGAGAAGTTTGTAGCTATCTTTTGGGTTGCCTACCTAATTAAATACTTTGTATTTTTTCAGAAATGTCTGGAACTAGTAAGAGAGTATTGCTTCAGTTACCAAAATTCTGGTATTTCAAACCTAAATTTCACAAGATTTATATGGAGGTAGCTGTTATGTTACCTGTTATTTCTGTCCTGAGTTATTTATGGTCAAAAGAAGAACAACGATATTATGATTCAATTCCTCGTCAAGGAAGATTGTTCTCAAAAAATCCTGATGCTCCTATGGAAGTTCGGAAAATGATACTTTAAAACTTATAAAGGCAGATGATGTGTTTTTTTTTTTAGTATAATAAATTTAGAACTATTGATTGTCAGGATTTATTTGAATATATTGTTACACAATCTCTATTGTTATCTCTCACATTGGCCTAATTGACGCTAATTACATTTTTAACATTAAATATTCATGATAGCAATTGCATTCAGAAAGTGCAGAGTATATGAATGATCATAGTGTTTGATATAAGTGTTATAGATAGCTGAAATTGCCCTCTATTAGCTGGTTGATGAAATATTTAGACAAATATATCCCTTTGATAATCCTTGGCATCTTGATGCCACTAACCTAGTAATATAAGCAAATTGCTTGGTCAAGGATTGAATAGTTGAAATATTGGTATGGTGCTGAATTTCAACACAGTATAAAAAAGGACCATATTTCTGGCACCTGGTGTCTATTTTGTTGAAAGAAACAAATCATGTCTGATACCTGATTGAATTTCTGCTGGGTTGAATTCCAGAACTGTACACTGCCTTTTTGCACCATTACCTGTCTGGCTCAATCTGGTACAAAACAAACGAAAGGATGTGTTAAGTCTGGCCCAAACATGAGTCAACAGCTCAGCCACTTGGCGGTTGGTTCAGCCAAATGATTTCTCTGCAGACATTTAAACTTTGGCACAGCAGTTGGATCAACAGAACAGGTCGACTCGTCATGGGACTCTCAGCAATTCAAAATGGTAGACAGTGAGGAAGCAGAAGATAATGTTAAAATTATTAAATGCTTACTTATCTTGCAGTCAACAACAGAAGTTAATATCACATGACAGCTTAAACGCATTCTATTTGCCCATCACCTCTTATCATTATGTGCCTGAGGACTACGGGTGAAACGTTGAATTGTTGCATAAAACCAGTGATTTTTGCTCCATAAAGCTGTGTCAATATATCGTACTCACAATTACTAAACGCCCTTTAAAGATTTTATTATTTATTTCATTGCAAATTATAAATCTGATGGAATGATATGTAGCAAATATTTACAAATATTAAATACTATAACAAGACATTTTATCAAATACAACCTGAATCATCACATAGTTATAATAAATAAATGCCCTTAACTACAAAATATATCTTTAAAAAAGGACGGAAAAGATATTTAACATTGAGTCATGCAAAATACAGTTATTCGCAAAAAATTCTAAAAAGAAATGCAAAAAGTCTTGTCAAAAAATGTAATATCTAAATAACTTATGTGATTTGTGAATAACCTGAAGATTAGTTGGTAGGTAGTGGCTTCAAAGTGGTCAATTTCTGAAGCTTATTTCTCCTTGCTGAAAAACATATATGATTCCATATGGAGAACATGATTTTTGTCTCATTTTTTTTTCATTCCATACCGTTGACAATTGTCGAGTCAGTAAATCTTCTAGTTAATTAGATATGTTGACTGGGATTATTCTCAGATGAGATGTGATACAAAAAGATAACACTAAACTGGTCCTTTGTTGGAATTCAATATTGAAATGGCAACATAAGCTTGTCCCTGAATTCATCCTTTGATAGCACAAATAGATATATAGTAGAAGAATAATTTAGGCACAGAAATTCATACTTTGCATTATCTACAAAAGTTCAGTTTATCTAAAATACATGAGCTGTCTGGAATTATATTTAGAAGGTCTGCCGATTCCTATTTTACCATAATCAAAAGTTCTTGTTTTAGCTTGGAACAGTCTTTCTGTTAAATCTCTTTTTGTATAGTCATTAGTATATAAATCACTATATTTCTTAAAATCAGTGCAATCATAATCTCTATACTTGTTCTTATGACGTAAATTTTCTTTCCCATACATGTCAAAACTAACTTGTTTCTTTGGTGAATCTGCCTCTTTCTTACCTTTTGATAAACAAGATGGAGATTGAAGTAATTCTGAAACTATAAAGACAAAATAACCAATTATTTCAAAAATCAAAATATGATACGAAAATAAGGTAATGGAAAATGAAACTCCAACAATTTATATGAAGAATAATTTTTACTCACCTCATTTGATATAAATTGAATAGTTTTTTTTTTTGAAAATCAAAAAGAAGTCAATTTTATGTAACAGTTTTAATATTTTGATCACCTCCTATTGTAATATTGACATTATTTAATAATAATAATTATATTGCCATGCAGCTATTTATTTCAAAAGTGATATACAGCATGTAGTCATATTTTTTTGCTTTACCTTCTGATAGAATTCAATTTCGGCTATAAACAAGCCAAGATATTTGTGCAAACATCGATACTACCAACACATCCTTTTCGGATTTCAGCTAAAAATGTTTCATTTAGTATACTTCTTACATGCTTAAAGGTCACAGTTCATGCTCACTCTGCCTTAACACCTGATGCCACTCAGCAAATGGATTTGTCAACTTGGCTTCAACTTTGGAGAGCCCACATATTTTATATATTTAACAAAAAGTGACCCGCTCTTGTTTTATTTTTTGATGTGACATGAATTATTCAGATTATAGTAAGTTTTTACACAAACAAAGCCAATTCATGGCTTGGACTAAGTTCTTTCAGCTGGTAGAGCAAATAATAAGACAGTTATGTCTCTATAATAAAAATTATTGCACAGATTTAAGAATTGATATGAAAACACAAGAAGTAATAATATACTACATAAGCAAAGAGAATTATTAAGAAAAAAGTAACTGAAATGAAGCAAATGCAATGCAAGACCAATTTTATCTTAAAATAGGAAACAAAGGTAAGTCAAAAGGCAATTTATAAAATAACTGCCCACTAAAGACAAGAATTACAACAAAATCTATATAAGTAGTAAGTTAAGATTCAAGGTTAAAAGGAAAGATTGGCCATCCGTTTGACCAATTGTATCTTAATCTTCGAGATAGGAATTTTTAGCTTAGCTAACAAGTAATAGCCTCCAAATAGTGTCCAGAATTATCTGCGTTTGAAACTTAAAATGACAACAAATCTTTTCTTGAGACTGTCATGGAATTATGGGATTTTTCTTCATTTCTACCACTTTTGAAGACTATTTTCAAATATTCAAGATTTCTTGGATACTAGTATATAGAGGATGGTTTGTGAAAGTTTCACCTACGACTTGGTTTAGAAATAGCCTATTAAACAGAAGCTCTTGTTACTCAAAAGTTTCAATTTGTGGATCTTCACACAACTGACTCATTTCAGTTTGTGTCACAACAGAAGTTGGACAAGTTGTACTCCTGTCTCTGAAAGATGACCAATTATAGTCTAAGAAAAAGGAATTCTGTAGCTAAGCCAATCAGTAATAGTGTTCACAGCTCACTGCCAAAATTTGAGCCCTCAAATCCATGTGTGTCCAGAATTATCTGCATTTGAATATATAGAAAAGACATACATAGAAATAGTAAGTAAAATTCTTATATATTTGAATGAATTATGTGATTCTTCATACATTTCTAGTCCTTCTGAAGACTATTAACATATTTTCAAGACTCAAGTCAACCCCCTAAAATGACGTACCTGCTCCTTTAAGGTTTATAATTTTTATAAAAAGATAATTTATATTTCTCTGATACTTCACTTTTCAATTAAATGGTACATAGAATTGTCCAGATGTTATAGTAATCATAAATACTCCACAATGTCAAGCTTTTAGGAACTAGGATTTGACATTATTTGCAACTTTTCTTGTATTATGTAATGCAGCGATTGTAATTCATTGGATTGTATACTTGCTACCAATCAGAGCCCTTGACAGAATGAATGTACATACATTACGACTTCTGGTTGACAAACTTTCAGTTGAGGGCTTTAATTGGCTGCATCCGCTCGCTTTTTAGAAAGAAATAAGTGGCTAATGATGTCAAGGTATTAGACACAGTAATAGCTTGACATAGTGAAGATGTCTATAATGTGAGAGACCAATATCTTATAAAGAATAAAAGAATTAAATGAACTAAACTACTAATATTAAAAGAAGTAATCTAATCTACTATGAAAGATCTGAGTTTTAAAGTTACAATAAATAATATTAGATCTGTTAGTAACTACAAGGACATACAAAATAAATAGTCTGTTTTACAGGCTTTTTTTCAAAAATCAGGGCGAGAGGGCAAGTTTATTATTTATTATTTGTAAGCGCTTTTTTAGATTTTCAACTGGAATAAATCGGAGCAAGCGAAAGCATTTATTATTTATTTCCACAAATTTTATGTACATTTAATATTAAGGCAACATTCAGGCATTTTTAGACCTGTAAAACAGACTGTTTATTTTGTATGGCCCAAGAAATGCCAAATAAATTAATGTAAATGTATCATTCTTAAATCTTCAATTGCTCCTCAAATCCTATTGTTGAGTTGTCATCTAGTATCAAATTGTCATAGCATAATTCACATAGTATTTTAAATTATAAAATGAGAATTTTTAGTAATAATTTGCATACATATCTGATGTCATCATGAATCTTGTATACAAAATGTCTCGTATGTGAAAATACCTTTTTAGTTGTTACAAGATAGAATTGGGTTTAGAATTAATTCGATGAAGTGGATAAAGATTCTGGAAATCAAAAATGTAGGCTGATTAAAAATTTTGCTTACAAAGAAGAACATCAAGAACAAAACTTGCTCAATCTTCTTCTCCTTAGATTATGATTATTTTTTCAAAAAACTCAAATGGTTGTTCGGGAGCAAGATTAGTAGATAAGTATATATATCACATCTAATTTACAATAAAAAATATAAGCTGAAAGTTATCTATACAAAACTATTAAAGAATAGAAAAGCAACACAGCAAATATGCGTAGAAAAGCACACAAAAAAATTCAAAGAATACACTTCGTTTGTAAATGCTCTAACAATCAAAAGGAAATCTTGATAACAAAAGGAGAGAGCATTTTAACATTTTCTCTAATGATTTGTAGTTAACAGAATCATTAAAACTAAGTTTTTTTTCACATTATGTGACATTTTTCAAAAATTACTTTTGATAGGTGTTATCAAATTATTCCGGGTAAGTTTTATAGAGCTCTGCTACTCTATAACCAGGTGTGGAGAGTCCATATTAACAACAATTTCTTTTTGAATTATGCCAACTTGGGTATAAACAAATTTCAAGGCCAAAATGTATTCTCTGTTAGAAATAATGACTAAAGAAGCTAGTGAATATTAAGCCTAGTTAAAGCAGTACGGGTAGATTGAGGACTACAGTCTCTATCTATAGGGTAAGCAGTTAATAATCTAGGCGCAGGAGTAAATGACATGCATTTAGCAGGATGAGTAGTTGGTGATAGTAGACGTATTTCACTCATCCTACCTGGTGACGGAGATTTATTGTAACGGTTTTCATCATTTGGTGTCGACAGAGAGTCGCGTTTTGTACACTTTTGGTATAACTCTAACGCCCTGTAAAATATATTTCAATAATATTAATTCCTGTTAAAAACCAAACCAAATTGACCATGAATTCTTGTCGAAATATTTCTTCTGCGTTGATTACAAACATGTGCTCTACAAGTGAAAAGGCATAATTGACATTTGTAATTCAAATAGATTTACCTCCTTAATTTCTCATCAGCTAATTTTTCTCTTAAAGCTACACTCTTTTCACGACCTGAAATTATATAAAAAAGATGGAAAAGATTATTGGTGGTGCCCAACACTAATTTACAATCATTGTAATAGAAATTGCGTGGCAAATCGATGATTGATCGATTTGTCATGGTTTGTAATGCAATCAATTTATTTTGTTGTTCTTGCTTTTTAGGGTTTTTTTGGGGGGGGGGAAACTTTCTAGAACAAACTGAAAACTAATTCTACAGGCATTGTGTGGTTCTGACGCAGTGCATACCAGGTATTGGAAGATTTCAATATCATATAGTGGGTGACCGCTTGAAACCTAGCTTGATTGTAAATAACTCAAAAAGCTCTAATTAAATAACAAGTATATAAACAGTCAGATTTAAAACCTAGTAAAATATATTATTATACAAGGTTCAATGTTCCTTTTCAGCGGATGAAAATGAAAAACCTTGTATACTGTATTATTATACGAGTTTTTGGTTCAATAGGCCGTAGATCTGGAATTGTTATACAAGGTTTATATTTTACAAGAATGAAAACCACGTATAGCGGTAAAAAAAATAATAAAAAAGATTTTAACAAAATACGCGTACAAATAGTTTTTTGCGTTTTTCTCGAAAAGTAATTCTGCGTCATATATCGTTATACGAGGTTTCAAGAGGTCACCCATGATATATGAATACCTGTCGGTATGTCGACAGAAGTCAACTCGTCAACAAAAATTGATGGGATAAGGTCTCATTGCCACAATTGGAGATGTGCACTGTTCCAGGTTAATATTATATTAGAGAAAAATGCATCTTAGTAGGTGTGGAAAATCCCCATTCAACAGGGTCGACAACTGTCAAAACATCCATCGAGTATGGAATAGAGGTAGATGTTTCGAGCTGGTTATTTTAGCAAATGAATATGAAATAAAAATGAAATGGAATTTTACATCTTATATAAGCGTTTAACTTGATATAAATTAGTGTTAGTAATAACTTACTGTCCATTTCTTTTTCTTTTAATGATAAGATTCTTAGTTTACTTTTTAACTCTTCTTCTAGTCTTTTTACAGAATCATTAGAGTCTAAACTATATCTTGATGGTGATGCAGAACTTTTACACCGACATTCATGAGTCGTTTGATGTGAAATAATTAAAGGGTCTGTCAGTATGGCGTCTATGCCTGGTCGCTTTGATACCTGAAAATAATTCATGAGTGATAAAAAAACAATACCTTGCCTCAAACTAGTACAGTTAATATGACGATATCTATTTTGCAAGTTGTGTCTGAATTCAGTCTAAAGTTTACTTATGAAAGACTATATATATATATGGTTTAGTATTACATACTATTTTGCTGTTAAAATAGTGCTCAATACAAATTGTAGAGCAATATAAAAATATTGGTTGTAAATAGGTTTTCTAGCCTTTTTATGTGTATCGGGGGCACCTTCGACTTCTATTTGAGACATTCAAACTCTTCGTCTGATGCATGTGCTTCCTGCAATTCCGGGAAGAATTAACCGGAAATGACACAGCTCGTAACCAACCTACCACTAGACCACAATAACGTAATATAATATATGTTATCTCCTCTAACAATATGGCAGCATTTCTAACTAAAAATTCTAACATTTGGTAAATCATTGAATATCAAATTAGTCACAAATGGCCACATTACTGTATTCGAAACCAGCCATTTTATCATAAATAAGGATATTTAAAGGAAGTCCTAAGTAGAAGTTAAATGTGTTACTGATACACATAAAAAGGCTACAAAACCTCTTTACAATCCCTTAAGAACAGAACATGAAACATATTGTTACATAAAAGTCACTGGTCAACCAGATTATAATCATAATTTCTAGTTATACAACATATACAAAGCAGAGTGACAAAAATGGTAGCATCAAGCATGAAAAGACTGGTGTGTTAGGCATGGATATACTAAATTCCATTGTAAACATATATCTGAATAGATAATATCTTACCTCAACTCTTATCATTTTTCTAATAATAGTGTCGAGATCATCAGAATATCTCATTGGTATTCTAGCAAAATCACCTAGGCGTATTTTACGATTGAGATCAGTTTGGTTGGCAGCAGTAAATGGGGGGTGTAAGGCACATAATTCATACATCATACAACCTAATGACCATATATCAGACTTCTCATTGTATGACATGTTATTGACAAGTTCCTGCAAATACAAAACAATCATTTATTGTTTAAAGCTCTAAAACTTAAATGAATTTACTACTGTCATTATCAAATATATGAGAGTAATTTTTCCCAACTCCATGGCACAACAAAGCAAGCAATATATTCTATATGCATTGAAATTCATTCACACTTCAAGTATAGCAGTTGTAGCTGCTACACTTTTTGATAACCCATAAATGGAGGTGAGGAAAATTTGTATCAACCATAAATATTAACTACTTACAGGAGACATATAATAAGGTGTTCCAACATAAGTTTTGGCAAAACTAGTTTCATGGAGAACTCTAGCTAATCCGAAATCACCTAGTTTGACATTTTGGCTACAATCAAGGAAGACATTAGCAGGTTTGAGATCACGATGTAATACTGCTTTACCATCTTTTCTTCTATGACATTCTTTTAAAGCTAGAGTTAGTTGAATAACAATCTTCCATACAAAATCTTCATCTACATAAATACTGAAAATAATAATTGGACTTATGATTAATTCAAATCCTAGTTACTTGAGCATCAATTCAAGAATTCATTAGCATTTATGACAAATGCAAGCTTTTAAAATCCATCAACCATCATTCCATACAGTAGTGCAGTACAACCAATCTGTAAGTAATTTATGTGGTGTTGATTTTGTAACTAGCAAACAATGTATTTTATGTGTTCACATAACAACATATTTCTTCATCACTTCTGAAACCATTAAATGTTTCTATACAGTGTTTTACAACATGTTTTTTAAGGTTTTGTTTTAATTGATCTACAATAATTGATGTATTGAGCACTATTTTAACAGTGAAAATAGTTTATTACCGTAAGAAATTAAATACAAAGTTCAATGACCTACCCTTCTCTACGACATTTAGATATTAATGTAGAAAGATCACCACCTCCACAGTACTCCATTATAATATAAATAGTAGTATTACTTCTATCTATTATTCTATCATAATAACTCACAATATGACAATGTTTTAATTCACGTAATAAATTTACTTCTGATACTAATAACTTTTTCTCTGACTCTGTCATTGAGCCATAATCCATTTCTTTCCATACAAGAACCTGAAATATGTTTGTGTTTAATGGCCAATTTGGTTTAAAATTCTTAAATGTACTATTCTAAAACATTTGGAAATAATTATTGTTTGCGTTTTGTTTTGAATTTAAAACTTCTAGTCATAAATTACGATATTCAACACAAACATGGATGACCAGTGAAATCATGAAGATTCTTGTCATTGTCATCATGGTATTAACACTGTGTCTGACAAAAATAGACTCAACATACCATTTTATTTATTCAAACTCTTACCTTTCCATCCTTTTTCCGCCTGATCTTTTTACAGGTACCATAAGATCCTGTACCAATGGTTGATATCACTTCAAAATCATCTAAACTACATGGTGTAGGCATTTTGGATCTGCAATAAAGAAAGATTTCATTCAATTTACATAAAATACATTAAGTATAGATATATATGAACTCAATATAACTGATTTCCATAACTTAATAAACACATATGCTTTTTTCTAAATCTAAAGACTACAATGAGATTTTCCTAAGAGTTGTCACACAAATAAAAAATAACATTCATATGTCAAGTCAAGTCCTAAAATTTCCGATTTTTTTTTCATTTTTAAATCTATCTTGAAAAACAATAAAATTGGTCTTATCTATCACAAAGTATCCTATCCAACAGAAGTCAACTTCAGAAATAAATCCAGAATAACTATAGATAGATAGTTTTTACTAAAAATATCAATTATTTATCTTCATAATGATTTATATAACACAAGTCATCTTAGGTTAACATGTTAAAAATTAATATGCTAAGGTCAGCTCAGGTTTTCTACTTTCATGTACATAGTCTTCTAAGGTACTCTATGGAGCTTGCACCCCCAGAGATGTAATTTGTTTACTTTTATTTGCACCATGTACCTTCTGTCTAGTAAATCCAACATTTATAACACCTTGAAAATTCAATGAATATCTGAAATTTTATTTGAATCTAACAAAATTTTAATTTCTGAAACTATATACCTTAAGTACTGTTCATTGTTTATTTTATGCAATATGCAAATATTAGACATCTGATTATATTATAGTTCTGTTGTAGATTTCAAGTAATAAATCTTAAACTAATGACTAGTAAGCTTATATCATGGTAAGCCCCTACTATCAACTGTAACATAAAACAATTAAACACTCTAAATATTATCTTGGCCTAGCTAGATTGTTAGAAAGCAGGACAAAAATAACTTCCCAATATCACGCCATATTGAAGCCAAAAACTTACACTTGAAAGGCCATTTCATTTAGCTTGACTCCATCACCTGCATCTTTCTTTCGTTCAGATTTATCAACAGATGATTTAGGTTTAAGCTCTTTCATGAATTCAGATTTAAGATTGTAAATGGCAGTTGATAGAGAAACTGTTTCAATTTCTTCTGATTTGCTCCCATTTTCAATATCATTGACATTACTTTTGCCCGAGCCAGAACATTTACTTGAGTTTGCCATATCACTTTAATTAATTTAATCCAAAACCTCAAATTATAAATTACTGACAATGTCAATGATAATATCGACCCAAAAGCTAGAAGATCTGTCAGTGCTTGTGACAAACATTGAACCAATGAGAGCAGAGTCACTTTGTTTACATCAACGTTCTTGTTGAGACATGTTTCTCTATTGTATTGGACACAAACAAATTTCTGAATGAAATTTTCATAATTTAAGGTCAGATGCAATATTTTACTAATACTTGTTCTTGACTTACAAAATTGTAGAGGCATTTGCGCCTCAAAATGTTCTAAAACGTTTCTTTTTGCAGCAAAAACAAAACTATTTTATGAGTCTTCAAAATTGCCGCAATTTGTAACAAGGCCTCTGATTAGTTATCGTCGCAATGAAAACTTGGTAACTATTGGTTGACTGCCTTTATCAAAGGTCAAGGTTTCTTTTGGCACGTGATCATCCAAAATGGTGGCCTTCATTTACACGGAATCAAAAGTCAAATGATTCTTATATTTTTATGTTTATATGTATGTAATAATGACATTATCGACTATTGAACATGGAGACAAATGACAGAGATAAAAATACATCGATATATGATGATAAAAGAGTGCAACAGGATTCCATAAAACTTTTATATAAATATTTTTGTAACAATTTACTTTTCGGACAGTGGGAGGTAGCCAGATCATGTATTCATCAACTAAATCAAGAGGCTAATGTTATTGGTTTGGATATCACAGATACTTTGATCCAGATTGCAGAAAACCCATATCATCAAAGGTTTTATTAACATTCCTTTCTCTTTGTTATTTGTTATTTATGTTAAAAAAATTTAGTTTATATTTTTACAAAACAATTAAAGTCCTTCTTCTGTTTAAAACTAATATTTAAATTCACTTTAAAAATCAAAATCAGCAAATTTCAATGTAACAACAAATGTTAGGAGACAGTACAGTAAATCTGCTTTTTGTTATTTTGAAGAAAATTTATTAGAATTAAGAGACAAAAAATTGTTATGGATATTTATTCCTTTTGAACACAAGGTTTCATTACATATACAGGTAACGTTCTCAAGTGATGAGAACTTTACCTTCATGTGTAATGAAACCTTGTGTTCAAAAGGAATAAATAGAAGTCTACATCCATAACAATTTTTGTCTCTTAATGTGCAGTGATACTTCTAAATGTCTTACAAGGATTGAACTTATAAGAATATCTGTAGGCTAGGTAACCAGCTGGTGAGATAAGTTTTCACCTCTTGTCTTAGATTGGTCTCAATTGATTTTGTTATCTAATTCAAACAAGTTGAATATGACTTGACTTCTTTAGTCCACATTATCATCAATTGATGAACTATTTAATATCTGAATTTTGTATCACAAATAATAGTAAAATATTGCTGATTAAGAACTTGTATTGTTGGCTTTGATATGGCATAGATAATATTTATTGCCTTGTTGGGCTGAAGATATTGGGAATAAAAAGTCTTACCTTTAGTTGAATGATAATCCAAAATAAAGAAAATCACAGTATTCCAGTGTACATATAAATTCAATGCTTTAAACACACAGATAAAATGTTTCTAGATTAAACGCAACTGACTTCCCTAGTATCTGATAATAAAAACAGTTAGATAATAACTTTAGAGTTACTGCAGGGCAGCAATTTAATCTGACTTTGATACAATATATATATATATACAACCCCTGGGGATATTAAGCCTAACTGGACTATAAAGGGTATAGAAGGAAGCAAAGTGTTGTTATATGATATGTAATGATAACTCAACCGTGAAGAGTTGTACACACAATTTACACCATATATTTATCTTATACTTGTACCTTTCTTGAGAGTGATCCAAAATAATTAAATTAAAAAAAAAACATTTTTAGAACATTATTTAATGCAAATATTAAGTTCAATATATAAGATAATATACTCTTTTTACTATGAGGGATTAAGTTGTTGTAAAAATAAAATTAAGATGAAATTCAACTGTTGTGCCATATGTATTTTATTTCAAACATCATCTATCAACAATTAACCTGAAATATGTTAAAGGGCATAGGGGCATGTCTTGCAATAATATAGTCAGGAAATCTCCATGTTAAAGATATTAAAACAAAACTTACCCTTTATTTACCGTGTGCCAGAGCCTTCTGATGAGTGGTAACTTGTTACCTTTAAACCACCTTTATTCCTTTATTTATGTTAACTGCTGCTTGGTGAGAAAATTTCTTATATTGTGGCCATTGCTTTTATCAGTTGGTTATTGAGTCTCACATTCAGCCAATTAAGTCAACAATCAAATATTTTTCTTCAGTTTGGGCTCCAGCACAGTGACTACACCAAGTCAGTTATCATGGTTATGTTTAATAGAGTGTCAGAATATTGGAGTTGAAAGAAATATTGACCAGGTACTATCTTTTACACTTTGATCTAAAACCTACCTTCAGATAATAAATAAGGTATCAATTACTTGATATATTGGGACACCTTTAACATTCAAATAGACAATTAGCACTCAGACCTATTGTTAGGCCATCACCTTTAATCAATTACAACTCTTAATGTAGCCTAACCTCTTACTCTAGGTTTACCAGGTGTCAATTGATAGCATCTGTATAGTAAAAGCAATCAATAAAATGGATTAATTTTGTGGGCTTAATTTTTGGCTTTGATAATATACCTATGCTTTCTATGTCTATGTTTCAATCATTCTTTTGATCTAAAGGTACTTGTTTTAAAAATGAATGAATGTCAAATCATACAAAACTTATGACTTAATTTTCACTCTGAGGTTTTATCTGCTTTTTAATCAACGAAAAAAATTATTTTCTTTACCTATAGATATCTCTTGTAACCAAGTTATTTAAAGATGCAGACTTCAGACTATTGTTGGCCGAACTTCCACCTGAATCTGATGCCAGTATCTTTAAGGTATGGCTTGTGTTATTTCTTGCTCAAAGATTATAATTCATGGTAATCAAAAACTCCTCTGTTTCATACTTTTATTAGTCAGTGAGATTAAGTGGACTTGGATTTTAAGACGTTTGTCACTGTTATGGAAAAGAATCTTGTAAGGCCTTATGTGTAACAGTTGTGGATATTATTGTTGGCTCGAAGCCAATAGTACACATGTTTATTTACCTTTACCATATTTGATATATATATTTCATATGAAATGTATATTTAAAATCTGTCTTGAAATATTACTTTATTTTATTTGTTTACTTTCAGGAACTCTATGAATTCTTCAGAAAGTGTAATGATTTGGTTCCAAACATCACTGAACTTTCTTCATCAAAAGTTTTATCCAAAACCACCTTAGAATTTTTAAAACAATTTTTGTATTCGAAAACAGACTTAGGCCATCTTATTATTAGTCATTTAATGCAATATGAGGACCCAATGACACCAAATAACACAGAGTTTATTACTAAAACCACTGGCAATGATTTCAAAACTAGGAATAATGAAGCATTACAAGGACTGTACCTCCACTGTATCAATTCCATCTTGGATCACTTAGATAAAACAGAAATCAAGCAGAGTGAAAGAATCGCACAATTTTCAAAACTGCTTGGCTATTACAATCCATCAGCCTATTGGAATTATTTACAGTTACGCCAGCTTTATACTCGACTGATTGAGTTCTGTGACAAACAAGACTCTCCATTATCTAGAAATAGAGTTATTTCCCTTTTAATGGGTCGGCACACCACTTATTTGATAGATGAATATTGTAAGTTGGAATATGAGATATTGTTGAGTGTGTCTGCTAGTAAAATATATGTTGATGTTAGACTCGGAGAAGAAGAAAAATGTCTCCTGGAAGTCTGTAGTGACAACCATAGAGAAACAAGATGGAGAAATATATTTCAGTTGTCTATAAAGAAAAAAAGACATTTTCTAGAAATGATAATGGTAAGAAACAATAGAGAGATATCCTTTTCCAGGATAGTAGCATTAATTCAACCATATTATATGAAGCAATTCAAGTCATTTTTCATCAATTATTAAGGGATAAGAAATTTACACGAAAGCTTAATAATCACATCCTGGACCAACACTTATGTGTGAACTTTATTCTAATCACTATCCATCATTATCAATTGGAATATTTAGTAAACTTTCTATGAAGATGATATAGTTTTGTTGTTCAAGGCCATAATATTTGTGCAGTTTAAATCATGTAGAGATAAAGTATGATTTTCAGAATTATTTTGTTTGATTTAACTTCTATCGTGTATTTTTCAGAATACCTCATTAGAGTTAGTGAAACAAGAAAGATTTATAGAGTTAGAGAGATTATTACAATGTGAAGATTTAGTACCATTAAAACCAGTCATACTATTAATAGCTTGGTCTTATTGTTCATCTTGTAATATAGCTAGACAGTTACTACAGGTCTTATGGAATGAACATGTAAGTATACAACTGCCTTCAAAACTTACTATCTTAAGTTAAAACTTAATGTTATGATGAAACATTTGTGAAAATTTAACTATTTTCAAAAAGAGACACAATCAAATGAAAAAACTTTATGGACATTATTGAAAAATGAAGAATGATTTAAAAATATTTAAAAAAAAAAAATATCAACAAAAAGAGAAGGAATTTTCACACATTTCTTATTTTTTTAAAACTGACACGTAATCCCTCTTTAAGAATTTGAATTTTCGAAACTATGTTATACTATTTGATATGTTTATTTTCCCAGGATAATTGTCCACACACTATTTTTACCTCCAGTTGTCAGAAACTATCATATCAAATAGATTTAATACAGTGGTGTTTAGATAAAGCCAAGTAAGTTATTTACTTTTCATTGAAGATGGATTTATTGTTGTATTCAACATTTTCTGTATCTTTCATTATGCTTTTTTTCTCTGAAAAACTGACTTGACATTTTCAAAGAACTTGCACATCATACTTAGTTGATGGCCTACCAGACAAATAAAATGGAAAGTGAAATTTTTGTATTTTCTTTTAATATTATTTTATTTTAGACCTTTACTAGAATCTAGTAGTTCCACTAACCTAGCTTCACATGAACGTGCTACCAATATGTTACAGAATTTATCAACTCATTCTGTTCTATTTGTTTTACACCAATCCACACGAATATCAGCCTTAAATCAAGATGAAGTTTTACATTTATTACAAAACACCAGTCATTCACTTGGTGAGTCTTCATTAATATATCTTTATATTGAGACAGATTACCAACTTGTATAAACTTCCAAAATTTATCATGATTCTCGCTGAAACACAAGATATGTTGTTCTTTAAATGATATTGTTCACAAACTTGATTTAACGTTATTTCGAAAGCTGATATGCAAATAGATTAAAAAGCAATATGCTATTTTATTCTTTATAAGGATCTGGTCAAAGAGCCCTTGATAAATATTTTTTTATATTTAGCCAAAGAAAAAGGAAAAAAGAGTGTTCGATTTAGAGACCAATCATTGAAAACTTCAGGTGACCAACCAATCAGCATCGAGCAACACTGTGATATATCAACTTTCAGAAGTTATTGTGCCTTGAAAAATGTTATGGATATTTTAGCTTTTTGTGCTGAAAACTTTGAACATGCAATGATGAATCCTGTTTGTTTGAAAACATCTTTACGTCCAAAACATTTAACTCGAATATTTGTAACTGAAGATAATGTAAGTAGTAGTAGCGATGGTGAAGATTGGTTGTCTGCATCACAAGTAGGGGAATGTAAACCAGAACTCAGTTCTGATGATTCAGAAAGTTTTAATAAATTATACGAAACTAATGTCACCAAAAAACTTACAGCTGTGAAAGATCATTTACGACAGTTACATCCACTGACATTCCGAGTTGAAACTATGGAGAATTTGTTTTCATTGTTATTTGTAACACATGAAGATTTTAATAGTGATTATGTTCAGGATAATGATAGTGGTGATGAGGAGGGGGAGGTGGGCAATAAATTAAGCACCAGTGAAATATCTATTCAATCTGATGAAGAACCTCCCCCTGTTACTAAGAAATTTAGCTTCTCACGATCAAATTCAAGAAGTGATAAACCAACAAAACCTAGTCAAAATATGACAAGTAGTTTAAATTATGATGAGCCATTTGATGATTCAAAGAAAAACCTGACATCACAATCAATGCAACAGACCATTGCTTCTCAATCACCTGATCCTATAGACACACCGACCAAAAAACTTTCTATAACTCTTACATCCTTACGTAAATTCAGCACTGCTAATAAATCTAGTGACTTTAGTTCTAGTGTAAACTCAAATAATATGAAAATAGGATTTCTTGCCAATGATTACATAGTAAGAGATGTGTTAGCTATGTTAAAAGACAGTCTTACCGATCTAAACTCTGCCAAGTTCACGTTATTAGGAAAAGATAGTGAATCCAGATCAGTAACCACAGAAGTACCAGTTTCACCTGCAACTGAGAGATTACTAACTCAACATATAAAATCTAGTATAACCTTAGACATCCTGCCACAGAGGATTACACGATTAACACAATTGATACATGAAGCACAATGGAGATTTCAGTTGGTTTGTAATGACAGTATACCACGACAAACTGGTGTTTTACTACAAAAACAAGTTATAACATCAGACAATGATTACAGTATTCTCTTATCAAGTTCTTATAATAAAAAAGAAAGATCTAGAAGTCCTAAAAAAGAAAGATTGGGTGAGTCTTACAATACATGTCATAGTTTCTAACTTTGGCCAGACGACAATCCAATACTGACTAAGCTTAAACGAAGGCCATCATTTATGAATTTTCTTTCATTCTGTATAGGTTCATCATCAGATGATAGAGAAGCCGGTAATAATAAACAACAGAAATCACGTAGTCAGTGTACATCTCTATCAAGTGCACCTTGTCGCAGTATTGGTATTATACAGTTAATGTTATCTTCACCAGATTCCTTACTCTCTATGTGTCTTAGTAAAGGAAACTTTGGGCAGGCCACTCAAGTTGTGAAGGTATGTTCTTCTTTACTTGGTGGGTCTGCTATTTTACCATGAATTGAGTAGAATATATACAAGAATATGATGATTTATGCATGAAATGTGAAAGGGAATATTACTAAGGGTTTATAATGCTAAAGGGCAGGGGATCGTCACAGTTTTCAGCTAGTTGAAAAGTCTTCTGATAATTGACATTCAAGGATTGATCAAGTGTCTCCTCAAGAGGGTTCTGTTAAGAAAGGTTATTAATGGATATTATAAATGTCATGTTATATAGATCTAGTTATACTAGAGTAACAAGTTTTCTTTTTTTCAGTTGTTCAAATTAGATAAAAAAGATGAAACTGCAGAAGTTCAGTTTTCAGATTCATACAAACAAGCTGCTGATAAATTAAGTACCTTGATTGAAAATCCTGAAAAAGGTTCGACCTCTTCTAATCGCCCTGGTACAATGAGTATTAAAGCTCTAGCTAGTGTGGCTGCTGCAGGTGTGGCATCTGCTTCTTTAACAAATATCACAGATGACTTGTTAACTTTGACCACTGTTCCACCATTCCCAAAACCAAATGTGCCAAAAACACACAAATTGTTATATTTTTTCACTGATGTGACTGTCTCATCAGCCATTTTAATTGATTTACTTTTGACTTCATGTAAAAATTGGGACTTGTGCAATAAAATGTGTAATGTGATAAAATCCAAAATCAACATGAAGCTGGTCATGGAGGGTGATAATGTTATGAATAGTGAAATACCTGTAAAAGGTTGTGTAGCATATTTTGCAGAGATTTTAAAAGTGCTAGAATTAGGATCAGATATAGACAGTCATTATCATATGGAAAATAATCCCAAATCCAACTTGAATTTAAAACAGAGTGTTGTTGATTTATTATTGAATGCCACTACACCAATATCAGCACAGAGACTTAAGAAATATGTTGGAATCAAAGAAGAAATTCGACAATCATTAGAGAAAGTTGAAACAGAAATAACTATTCTAGAAAATACAAACGCTACAGAAAAATCTCTGAGTTTGTCTCGTACTCCATCACCCCAGACATCTCCACGTCCTTCCCCTATGGGAAGTGTATCATCACGGAGCAGTATTAAACCAGAACCACCCTCTATACATACCGCTATCAAACAACTAATATCATGTATGGAAAGTTATTTACCTAGTGGAGGTATTATCAAAATTGTTAAAAGGTAATATTTTAATCTAACTAGGAATATTTCTCATGAAGAATTTGTTCATTCTTCTTCATATGGTGACAGAGTGTTCAAAAATGGATGGTTTGATATCCCTAATTTTTCTAGTTCGTATCATAACCTATATGTTTTGTTTTGATTATTCTTCCTCAAAACTCAAAATAAATTTGAAATTTGTTTGTATTTTCAGGTCAAGCGAATCTGATGTTGTTTCTAATAGAAATTATTTGTTAAGTTTATATGAGCATGTTAAAGAATTAGCCTTTTTAGTTGCACAAAGTGAATGTAAATCTCAAGGTAAGACCTTAGATTTGTTGAGTTTGCAAAGATTTCGACAGTTACCTTTTTTAACCACTGGTCTCAGTTGTGTTTACCACATTAAAACCAGTCCTTAGCATGATCAAACCCTATTGTATTTGCCACATCAAACCAGTAATTTGCAGCAAGTAAATTTCAATATTTGAATGTTTTCATAACATGAAATTCAGAAGTCACTTTGCAGGTGATATGATTGTTATTACAAAACATTTTTATTTCAGAATCATTGGTGCTACCTCAGAATTATTTTCTCACGTTGAAAGAAGGACCAATCTTAATACTGGGAAGATTAATGTTTAATAAAAAACTACAACCATCAAAGTAAGTTCTCAGTTAAACTCATAAAACCATATAGAACAGTCCTTTAGAGATCAATAATGTATCTCCAATTATTATTAATTAGATTTGATTAAGTCATATTTTTATGTTGGAATGCTTCAATTTTATTTTATAATTTTGCAGGCTAGAAAAGGTAGCGGCCAAGTTGAGTTTAAATTTAACTCATATCATAGTTCATAGTTGTTGTCCTAGAATACCTAGTAAACATTTAATACCAGTTATTACTCCTACTTATAGTAACATAACAACACGTACGTTTAACATTCTTATATATCTCAATTCAAATAAAAATAATTGCAATTATTCATATTGAGACCTTTGCAAAATTATCTCATTGCATATTTGACATATTCTTTGGAGTAAATAGATCTCCGATAGAGTGAGTAATTTTTCAATTTGACATGCCATTGATCATCCTTGTTTATATTTTTTCCTAAGTTTTGATTTGCAGCAGCATGTCCCATTGTTATAACAAGACTCCTGCCAGCACTCATACTGCTGCCTTCTACGGCTGCCAAGAGTTTGCACACTTGTTTATATTTCAGTGGCAAGTTGTAATATAACTATATACAACAGTGGAGAATTTGAAAGTTCTACTGATGACCCATTACTATTAATAACAACTGTTCTCTCTTCTTTACTTCAAACTTTAAAAGGTTAGTATGTTGTTACAGAGAATAGAACAGCAAAATCTCTGTATGAATGCCCTTCTATAAGGTTGATCTGCTGGATACTGAAGTGAAATGTGGAAAACAATGGAATAAATTCAAAGGGTGTTATGAATATTAGCCTGTACAGGATTTGTGATATGATGTAGCATCACCATGATGAGTAATAAATTTATATGAATTTTAATAATTATCGTTTCTGACTTGAACAAGCCGTGGACAAAAAGTCAACATTCTTTTGTCTGTGTCCTGATTATTTCGTTTAATAAAGAGATAAACAACATCTAATAGGCACATGTCATTAGATATAGATATAGTTATTTTCATGATATAAATATTGATTTATTTGTTTATTATTTGTAGAGAAAGCTGAAAGATGTAATAGTAAAGGAATATTTGATATAAGCTGTGCTAAACTCTTGGTTCAAGACTCCAGTTTTGATGATTTATTTAACACCACAAAACAACTTCAGTCTGTAGATTTGTCGAAACTAGGAAAGAAAGATGATTTGACCTGTTTTTATATCAATCTACAGAATTTAATGACAATTCACATGCATTTATTGTTTATTCATCATCGTTTACAGAAACAGGTGAGTGACTTATCAATGGACATTATTTTCTTGAAGTAGCCTACATGTCAAGGTATTGTTAACTGAGGCTGCACATATAATCGTGGGATATGATTGGCTGTATTGGCATTCATACAATTCATTTTGCTACCTTGATACAAGAAAAGTGCCCAATGATGTCAAGGTATAAGACTGATTTTATAATATTTTGAGTTTGTGAAGAAGCTCTAAGAAGTTCACCTATTAATGAGGTGCAGTTGAGTTAGAACAAGACTCTATGATTCAACCTTCCAGTTAGGTAATCCAAATGCCATAAAAAAAATCAGTTTTCCAACTAAGATTAAGGTCTTGATAGTTACTCAATTAAAGTGATTATATTCAATTTTCATTAGAAACCTAGTTAGTTTCAGAAAACCCAGAAAATTTACAACATTCTAAAAGTTTACAATTGTGCTGGAAGTAAACCTGTTTTATGACTTACATTGATGATTATTTTTGTAGAAATGTTTAGAGGAAGAAGAAAGTCAATCTAATTTGTTAAAAGATGAAGATATATTTACTATGTCAAGTTTAGATAACCTAATTCAACGACAACAATTTTACTATCAAATAGGACAGCTAGGTGTTGTTAGGTAAGTAGTACTTCTATCCTGTTTTATTATCAAATAGAACAGCTAGGTGTTGTTAGGTAGGTAGGAGTTCTATCCTGTTTTACTATCAATTAGAACAGCTAGGTGTTGTCAGGTAAGTAGGAGTTCTATCCTGTTTTACTATCAATTAGAACAGCTAGGTGTTGTCAGGTAAGTAGGAGTTCTATCCTGTTTTACTATCAATTAGAACAGCTAGGTGTTGTCAGGTAGGTAGGAGTTCTATCATGTTTTACTATCAATTAGAACAGCTAGGTGTTGTCAGGTAAGTAGGAGTTCTATCCTGTTTTACTATCAATTAGAACAGCTAGGTGTTGTCAGGTAAGTAGGAGTTCTATCCTGTTTTACTATCAATTAGAACAGCTAGGTGTTGTCAGGTAGGTAGGAGTTCTATCCTGTTTTACTATTAATTAGAACAGCTAGGTGTTGTCAGGTAGGTAGGAGTTCTATCCTGTTTTACTATCAATTAGAACAGCTAGGTGTTGTCAGGTAGGTAGGAGTTCTATCCTGTTTTACTATCAATTAGAACAGCTAGGTGTTGTCAGGTAAGTAGGAGTTCTATCCTGTTTTACTATCAATTAGAACAGCTAGGTGTTGTCAGGTAGGTAGGAGTTCTATCCTGTTTTACTACCAAATAGGACAGTTATTATGTTGGTTAGTTACAATGGCTTAATGGTTCCATATCAAGGTTCAATATTTAAGATAAAGGTTTATTACAAAGTTTTCCAAGGATTTTCATGTTGACTGTATACTTTCAGTTTATTTGATGTTAAAACTAAGATATGTAATGAAAAGTTTTTACCAACATTAGAGATTAGTAATATACCTGTAGCTAGTTACAGTAAGTAATTTACATTTCTCTCCTTAAGCTTGTCATATATCTGGAACAATGATTTTCATCATCGGCAAAAGAAATGTGACATACTGGTACATGCACATTGTTTTATACAAAGTTTTTACTTTATTCTATCAGTAGCTCATGAGAAAAATATATTATTATATATTTGTAGATTTAGAAATATATTAAAACAAAACCTAAGACTTGTTATTCAGAGTTTAATGCTGTGTGATCTTAAGACAACTGACCTATTTCAACCTGCCCTACTGTAATTTGACAAATAGCATATTTTAGGTTCTGTTTCAATATTTCTATATCGCTCTACAATTGATGTCAAATTGTATATATTATTTTAACAGTGAAATGATTTTTGGTATTGTATTTGTAGATTTAAGTAGCTATGATCCATGGAGTTTATGCAGTCCACCAACTGATGAAAGATTAATTTTTTTATATATTGATGGGTGTGTCTCTTCACCATATCTACAGGTATCATATTCTAGTCAATTTTATCTTGTTCTTTAATTTATGGATACTTGTGTTTCTACTTTTAACAAGACCAGTCAACTCTTTACAAATGAAGATCATAAATATCATAAAAACTATCACTTTTTTTTCATTTTTTATGATGGAAGAACAGTTAATAATTATTAGATGTAGATTGGTATATATTTTGTGTTATTATTTATTAGGTTGTATATGGTAACAGTATAAGTAATCAGCTACAGATAACAATGAAAGAATATATTAATCATACTGTTTATATAGACCTAGACAAAAAACAGGTTGGTATTTACATTAACCTGGTAGATATTTCATCCATTTTGTTCTTCCTATATGCTACAACTCTCTTTTTCTACTAAAACAACAGTAAGCTTTTGGATGCTTATCATTAAATACTGAGTCTGGATCTTGAACTGGTGGACTATGGTTTGAAAATTAACCATCTTCTGCCTGTATTCAAAGACTGAAACCTGAAATTATTGAATTTTTAGAAACTTGACCAAGAAATGAATAGTACTTCATTAACATTGTATAAGCTGACTACATTTTCAATTAAATTTTATCTTTTTTGTTTCAATAGGTAACAGTAGGGCAGTATTTAATGTGGTATAAAAACTCCTCCTCTAAACGAACCAAATCAACTTACTCTATGTTTAAAGAAGTGACAGATTTTATATTGAATTATTTAGATGGTCATAAAAGAGATGACTTACAAGAATTAATTAATCTAGATGTTAATGACCGAGGTTCTACTGAAAATATTGGTAAGATATAACCCCTGTTTCCTAACCAACTACCCTTTTACCTTGTGTTAAATATTAGGAACCTTAGATACATATCTGTTAGAATACTTATTGATTATTTATTTTCCATAAATGGATTTTTAAAGAAAGGTATAAAACAAATATGCAATCCTCAGAATTTTGTTTTAGTTTTTATCTGTTTGTCCTGAAAAGGAGGATGCACAGAATTTGTGACCATATGGATTGATGTTACTGTTTATTTTACAGATGAAGCTGGTAGAAAAGAATTACCCTATGAAGTTGTCATTCAGCCTTTTAATCCTGAATTCTCTATTATATTTACATCAGATGGTTTACCATCTATAGACTGTCTTTATGTTCCCCGTTCAAAACCACAAACATTCTCTCGGACGGAGAATTCTGTTGAAAGTTTATTGGAACGGCCAGCATCATTTGTAGAAAATCCATCATATTTACTTACTCCCACTACATTAGATTATATTAAAAATGATTCTCTACTAGTAGCCACTATGGTTAGTTTAGTATGTGCCGATGAACTTGATGAAATAGACACACATTTTACTGATAATTATTTCCGTCAAGAAAGCGTACCTCGTGATCGCACCATGTCCGATATAAGCCTTGTAGACATCAGAAGTTACAGATACCAACGATTAACAGATGATTTTCCAATCTTACAGCGCCATCTATTGAATTACATTCTACCATTAGCAGGGGCAGATAACCCTGATATGTCCAATAGTGGAGATCCTATTCTAAAATTTGTTACAAATGATATAGATGAGAAAGTAAAGTTATGTATGTTCAGTCTCCATGACAGTGTTCAATTCCAAGATGTAGTGAATGAATTAATTCTACGTTTTATTCAAAATGAAAACTATTTATCAGTATTAGCAGTATTACAGAGCATACCGGAAATCTTAATGAAGGAAAAAGTAGACTGGAAAATACTCCATGACTTTAGTCTTGTTAATTTAGTGAGCCAGAAGTGTCAGAGACCAAACTGTGATAACAAAGTCATAAATTTATTACGTTATTTTTATTCTAAATCCACTCAGGTTCGGACTATTTTATCAGTTTGTAATAATCTACCTGTAGAAACAGGAATAGATCTACTGGAACTATGTTTAAGTTATGAACTCAGTTCAGAATTAGTGCCTCTGGTAGAAAAACAACTTAAAATACTGCACGTGTATGCAAAGGTATGGTTTGATCTTTAAATGTTGAAAAATATTAGCAGCATTTAATTTTTAAAAAGGTTTAAACAAAAGTTACAAAACTTACAATGGTTCTTTCCAAAAATATAAAATGAAGAATTACGAGATCCTATGATAGACTACTATGAATTGGTATTTCAAAAAGTGTTTTTCAAGGTTGAAAAGAATTCTGGTTTGGAAAATTGAGATTGAGAGCTGACATTGGGATTCCTCTTGATAGATTTTATAATAGTATTATCGATTTCACAGTCCTATATTTTAGCCTGTTTTGATAAATTATTGAAATGTATAAGATATTTAAGCAAAGTAATCTGAATTGTTTTGTTTTTTAGATTATTGACAGTGTTAAGAATTTACAGTTTAAATTGTCCATGCAGACGTCAGAATTTATCAGTTTAGAAAATCAAGATTCATTGAAGAGTTATCATTCAGCTCTGGCACCATTTACTGATTGGCATTATTTAGTCAAGACTTCTCAGGAATCACCTAAAGATGTACTCGCAGTATTGATGAAAACTGGTGTTTACGTAACAGCTAAAGAATGGGCTGAAATCAACAACATTCCTAAACCATTAAAACTAGTATGTTTTCATGGTGAATTAAGATTGTAGTTTATGTAGTTATGAATTTGATTGAGAAATTCATTGGGTTTAATAAAAATCATTACAATATCTAGCATATAACAAGGAATATCATTGTTTTGAGGCCATGATAAATGAAATGAGTACAACTTATTGCAACTTAAAGGGATTGTAAAAATGATAGCATCGATTTGCACCATTTAAATTTTCATTCCGACATCTTGTGGTTCTTGCAATTCCACTTATGATGTCACTATCACAAAAGCTCCTAATGATATCTGTGGTTTATGCGATAGTGACATCATAAAATGAGAATTGTTAAAACCATAGTGAAATAGTGAAAGTTAGATTTTGCTAAACGATAGTTTAGGATATATATTATAAAATTTGTTATAGGATATACAAGAGAGATATTTAGTTTCATTGTTAACATCAGATACACCCAATTCTATCAAAGCTTTCCAGGTAATATAATATATTATCATACATATCTAGTGGCAGAGCCAAAGGGGGTAAAGAGGTGTTGAGCGCCCCTCCTTGCAGCCCCGAAAGCATGTATTTCGGGCAAAACACTCATAACTAGGTTAGAAATTCGGGCAACTTCACTTATTTTGCAAGTTTAGCATGTCCATGTAATGTGGATTTGAATAACAATTGGAATTTATGTACCTTGGCAATCCTGCTATAACTAAACTTAATCAACCTCTAATCTCTGCTTAGCTAATCTTAGATTTGGATTCATTATAGTTTGACCTTTTTTGAGTTTCTACAGGCACATCCTATATTTAAGTGATTGGTTGTTATTTTGAAGGTTTTAGAAGAGTTAAGAAAGGAGACCGATGATAAAACATGTTATACAATATGTGATAATTTACTACATAAACTTTCAGACCATAAACATATATTATTTTTAACCAGTTACATGTTAAATCAGTTAAAATCTGTTGTACAAGATAATATAGAGGATCTACAACTCAGACATATTGGAGCTAAGGTAATACATATTTAGTCTTGCATGATACATGTGCTGTTCATAGTTTTTTAAGAATCAGAAGCTTAAAATGTGACAATTTTTAGATCCAATATTTACATGAATAATTGTTTACATCAACATGCCAGTTTGGTCAATGAGCAACACCAAGTACATCCAAGCATAAGTGGCTTTGAAATGGAAGAAAGACATATATTATGTCTATAGAGGAAGTACTATCAATCTATAACATATATATAGAAAAATGTTTTCATACTAAAACATAATCCTTTACTTTTGTGTTTTTCTAGGCTCTTCAAATTGTGCCTGATTTTTTAAGGGGAGACTACTCTGGTTTGATAACATCACCTCATCTGATATTAGAACAGCTGCTGATGAATATGAAGGTGATTTTTGTTAATGATAAAGATAGAACTTGTCATGCATCTAATACTGTATGCTCAGATTGTGAGGCTCTTCTTGCTGATCTTCCAGAATATTTAGATGTTTGAACAGGGGATTTTTCTACTTAAGCATGCTGCAGATGAAAGGAACTAGTTTAACTGCCTGCGAACCAATAGAAACCCATTGACGGATCACATGGTATCATTGTAGTAACTGTGAATAATGTAATTTTAGAAGATCACTACCCGTTTCTATACACTGTTTATTGTGCAGAATACCAAAACAGGGAAAGTTATGTGACAAAGCTGCTGTATGAACATTCTTAGGTTGTTTTCGTTGACATACAGAATTGGCCGAAGCTCAGACGAGAGCTCTCGTCTGCAGTGAAAAAAAAGTAGTCAGAATGTTGCTCAGTTGACAACCTTTTCGAGGCAGGCAGCTCAGCTAGTTCCTCTCGTCTGTGGCAGGTTTAACAGTATTTTTCTTAAGTATGCAACAGTATCAACAGAACAAGATTTTTTTTTATCATAACATTTAGTTTTTACTCTTCTTCTATTATCCTATTATTTGATTTAATTGGTACACACTCCATTCTTTATGTAATATTATATTAATTTTTTGTAAAATTTTGTAGGCTGATTTAGCTGGTCAAGTATTCAGTGAAATTAAAACTGAGTTTTTAGCCATTAAAGATGAGAAGTTAAGGGTAACAAATGAAAGGTTCAATGAAATGTTGATGAAATATGCTAAATTAGCTGTAGAAATAACAGTTGTACAAATAGATCCAGGTACGTCTACTGATATACTAAGATATTATGATACAGTTATTAAGTATGTGGACTGTCCAGTAGAGTATTGATAGCCCTGGACACAGGCTGAAATCAGTTATTAGAATTTGTCTTGCGCACATGGTTACATTAGTTGGACTCTTTATAAACCTAGTGATGTTAAATATATTTCTCATTGGCTGAGATTAATCTAACAGATTTTCACTTATCACTAATGTAAAGAAGGGTATACAGTCATAAGAAACTTTAATTAACACAAAGGCCTTTATTTATGCATTTTGGTGAAATTTTTAAGCTCATCTACTGATCATTGGCACATACATGTATTTACTGTTTCTCCATCCAAGAGAACCAACAATGTATGTATGTCCGTCACTTTTTTTGTCCTTTTTAATCTGTTTGCATATCATATTTTCAGAACGTGAAAGAACACAGAGTACAGATTCTTATGATCCTAAAAGAGAGGAATCTGATTTAACCAAATCTTTCATGGAATCTGTAAGAATCAGGAGAAGAGGCTTTGAACTTTCAGGTAAAGAATCATTGACCTGTGGGTCTTTAAAGCTATATATTCACATATAACTGAAATGAAATAGAATTTTAAATAAAGAATGCATATTTTCAATTGTTTTCTTAACAGTTTCACCAAGAACTATGACACCAAGTCCATCAGCTAGTCCTAGAAGGAAAATATCCAATGTGTATTTGCATCCTCCGATTCTAGAAAATACTTCTAGTACACCAACATCTTCACCTTCTAAATTTATTATGCCCTCTCAACCCCCACCTCCAGAAAAATGGGTACCAGATTCATCAGCTTCAGTTTGTATGGTTTGTGGAGTAGAAAGATTCAGTATGGTAAGTGATGACCAAATAAATTGGTAAACTTTGTGGACTCAGATGTTGAAAACAAAGAATGTGATAGCTGACCTCTTTAATGAAACGGTTTGTGTTGTACATGTACCTAAAAAGTGTCTAAGAAATTCTTAATAAGAATTGTTTTTGTTGAAATAGAATGACCATCCTAAATAGTAATCCTTGGTAAACTTTTGATAGTGGCTGTATTTTTGTCTTCATATTTTTAAAAGCTAAAATATGAACATTTTATTTTGTGTTTAGTTCAACAGAAGACATCATTGTCGAAGGTGTGGACGTGTTGTTTGTGCTGCTTGCTCTACCAAGCGAACAATGGTACAAGGTGTTTCAGCTAGAGTTTGTAATGATTGTTATCAGCAAATTTTTGGACCTGTGTAAGTCTTTATTTCCCAAAGTTATTCAATTTACTAGTTTATGGTCAATGTATATAATGCTCTGTTTTGGAAACCAAAGGTGGTTGCCTATTTCAGCTACTCCTACCAGCAAGCAAAAGAAATAGAAAAAAAAGTTATTGCTTTTCATTTTAGAAATGTAAAGCCCAAGGAACCAGAATTTTACAGTAGTGGTAAAACTCCAGATAGATTGTCACAAACTAGTGGAAGTCCACCACCATTTTCATCTAGTTACAACACTGTAACCTCCCCTAACCAAGATGGTGGAGAGGTTAATATTAGTATGAATATAGCAGGGGAAAGTGAATGGAAATTGAAGATTGATGACGAACATAATAAATTTATTAGAGAAGAATTTTACTTTGAACAGGTTGTGTATTTGATCTTGTTTTCTAAAGGAATAAAATTGCATGAAAATAGAAACTTTTTGGTTTACTTAAATGGCAAGGCTCATAATTGAATATATATTTGAATTTCTGTGTTATTAGTACTTATTAACATACAGTTGTGAACTGACTTACATAATATGTTCAAGAACAGGACAGGACAGGACAGGACAGGACAGGACAGGACAGGACAAGACAGGACAGGACAGGACAGTGACAGAGATTCATCCTAATATCCTGGAGGGTAATAAGAGAGGTACATTATGCATGCGTACATTATTCACATTTATGATATATTTCAGGCTCCAAGTGTATCACTGAGTATTTCTATATTAAATCACTATAGTAACGTAAGAGAGTGTGGTCATATATTATTAAAGATATGTGATAATTTATCTAAATATTTACAACCCATTTCACCTGGTGTCCCTAATCCAGAGGTCGACTATAATCTTATCATTAGGTTAGTGAATATTTTATGGTGCTAATTTATAATGTTCTCCATATATATTATATACCCTTCATTATGCCTTGATCAGTAAACCTAAAGAGTCTTTTATCAGAAATGTGTGAATTGAACTTGTGACTATATAAAGATGGAGTATGTGACAAATTATGAATTTATGTTGTGTTAATATTTTTTTTAGTATGATCAGTCAGTTGTTGTTTCAAGCTAAGATGAAGTTTTTAAAGTTAGGAGATAACAATGGTATAGGACAATGTGATATGTATCAGACACGAGTTGATTTATTAAAGATATTAGTAGAATCTAACTATAGAAATCTACCAACTATAGAACAGTTAACTAAAGTAGATACTGTCAGGTTGGTATTTTTGTTATCGTAATAAAGATTAAAATTAGACATCATCAATTAACATCCATAGTTATTGTTAAAGGGTCATTCTGTTCTTTTGTGAACAATTTTCATTAAAAAAGTTGTAACTTATACCTGAAACTATTTCTTAAGTATGTTATTTATATCTATGTATCTACTTGATCATACTGAATTTGTTTTGAAAAGGTTAATTATAAATAAAAGTACTAATTGTTAATTAATTAAGTTTGACCTAGTTTTGGTGTTTTGCCACACCACATAGATTAAAGTGATCTGTTGAATCAGACTCTGATGTGTAAAATTATCTTTACTTAACTAGGTGTATAATTATTATTATGACTATTTTCAAATATTCAGGAGATTGCGTGATAAGTTAATTAGTAATGAAAGATTAGGATTAGCTATGGAAGTATCTACTAAATGTGGTTTAGATCCAACTGGTGTATGGTCAGCCTGGGGTATGGCTTTATTACAATGTGGTGATTACACTGCAGCTAGAGAAAAATTCAGTCATTGTCTAAAAGTAAGTTTTTATGTATACCTAGTACTTGAAAGTAAATATCGAAAAGTTGCTTTAAAAGACATCACCAATTTGATATTTAAATATTAATATATGATATGTTCTGATTATTGCTATATATTTCAGCTTCCAAAAGATAAAAATCAGACTGGTACATCTTCTAGATTACTGCAGGAAATTATAGATCATCTAGAAACTTTACCAGTGACAGGTGCTACAGAGGTTGGTATACGTGTATACTCTTATATCTTAGTTTACTTTTGTATTATGTATGTGCTGTTTAATACTAACAGAAGATTTTGGTATAGTTTGGATAAAATTGCTTGCTTTATATCATATGAAGCATGAAAATAGAAATTAATTTTTATAAAAGACTAAGTCAATATACACATGTATTTTGGCACAGAAAAGAACTAGAACTACATAGAACTTGCATTAAGATTAATTGAATTATGTTTTTGAATTTTTTATATTATAGATCCAGATGTTATTATCAAGTACTGCATCTATTAAAACTTTAATAAACATGCCAGCTTCAGTAAGTTTCTATGTATTCTGTAGACAATATATACAGTTAAATATGTTGGCAAATAATAACATCTACAAGACATAGTATTATTTTGGATTAACATCATACATGACATTGTAAATCTTACATCCAGTACAAGAGAAAGCAATTTTATTTTAGGAAAGACTGTAGGAAAGACACATAACTAGTGGGCTCCCTGTGAATAATTAAGAAGGAGGGGGAGGGGAGGATCAAGTAAGGGTGTGGGCTCAAATCTTTCATACTCTTTTCTCTTTCATATGAAGACGTCTGTTGAAGAAAGTAGTATGGAGACCAAACAGTTTCAGGAATGTCTATATTATATAAAAACATATGGTACCTACTTGGAATTACTAGGTATGCTACGTAGAAATGGATATTGGATGAAATCAGCAGAATATGTCTTACAACATGTAGGTTTATTTTATTCTCTTAATGCCTCAAATGTGGTTTATTCTATTAGTAGATTCAATGAATAGAAATAACATTCTTGTGGTAAATTTCTTTAAAATCAGTGTTATTTACCAGTTGTAAATCATTTGTAAATGTGACAAATAAGACATTTTTTTAAATTTTGTTGTTTAATTTTATTAAGACGACCTAGTTTGAAACTGAGAGCCTCTTATGATAGACTTTAACATTGATTTTATCTAGGCTATCTTAATTGCTCTTCCAAGGGAGATAACTTTCAATATAGTTGATATTTAGAAGACCACAATAAATATGATTGTATTTCCAATTTTCTAGTCTCATTTTATTATATCATTGTTAAAGAATATAGATTGGATAGTAAATAATTAATATATATAAAAACAGTACCTTGATATTTTGACATGATATATTTTATTTGTGTAGAAATGTAGTAGTGAAGTGTTTATACAAGGATTGTTAGAACCAGCGTTAAAGGCAGGAGATTTAGAGAAATTACTAGATCAGATGTTGATGTTGGATAAATCTTTAGATAAATGGAATAATTATTTGACGGCTACTTGTCGATATTTATTAAAACAACATTATCATCATGCTTTATACCAAATACAGATCTTTATGAAGGTATGGCTAGTTTCTCAGCTATATTTAAATGGATATAGAGGATATTCAATGTTGACTACCCAAGAATTTTTTATTGAGATTTATACAAGTATTAAGACTGGATCAGATTCAACTTCAAAAAAAAGGTGACTGTAGATTAGGTGTTTGGATCCACCCATAACAATATTGCTTTGTATATCATGTCTGAGGTACTGGTTAGGGCCAGATTTTTGTCAGGTTTGTGCAGATAATGAATTGTTGAAGTATGAACTTTTAAAACAAATATCTAAAGAAAAAGATTTATAATGCTTGACTTATATTTTGTATCTTCATAGGATTATCTGAGGGCAGCCATGACCTGTATTACACATTTTTATCAACAAGGCTGTCAGAGTTATCTGGACTTGAATAAACATATACAATATTTGTTCACTGCACAACAACACATGCAGGCTTATCTTGATCCCAGTAAATGGGGCAGTGTTAAACATCCATTCAATAGTACAAGTGGTAAAAAAGGAGTAGATTGGGGAAAGTCAACACCAGAAAACACAGTTAGATTATCTTTAACAACTGATGAAGTTAACAAGTAGGAATAATTTTATAGAATATTGTGATGTTGTCTACTAATTACATGTAATAACTATATGTATGAATATCAATAGTTAAAGATGGGTTCCCTTATTTTCATACATGAAAATGCTAATACTTACATGAATAGAAAGTAGAGGTGTTTTGATGACTTGGAAAAATTCCAGTTTGTCTCACATGTCCATAATTAATTCATAATTAGCTAATTTATCCGAGAATTACCAGCAGAATTCATATAACTGACCAATCAAGAAAAGTCAAAAAGTCTTTTTTTTATTTATCCAGACCTTACATACATGCACATTTATGATTGATATTATTAAGAATACATGATAATTCATTAGAAACACCAATTTATCAAATAGTTCGCTTAATTTGACACTAAAAAATTAAGGAAACCCATCTTTAAATAAATTAAGATATTGTAATGCATTTATCGTACATTCTTCAATATGTTACAACAAGCACTGTTCCTATTTCCATTTTCATGTTTCTGCAGATCAGAAAGGGAGACTCAAATTTAAATATTAAAGATTCAAACTTTATGTTCAAACCCAGCTTTATTGATGAAGTATCCTTATATCTGTTATTTTTTGTAGCCACACATATTTTGTTGAATATTTTCAGACATATTCGGACCATAGCTCTTCAAATTGAAATCACACAGTTTTTAGATAATTGTTTGAAGAACCGTGAAGGTGAATCAACTAATCTTGCAACAAGCTATGTTGTAGAATCACAAAAATCTCATCTACCCTCATTATTTGGTAGTTCTAAAATCAGAACAGATCTTGTGACCATGGTAAGTTCTCTTAATGACTTGAGAACCAAATTTGAGATTCGGAATTTATTTAGTTTTACCAGAGTTTGGATTTTGGCTATCTTTATTTTTTCAACTTATTGATTTCAGGAATATCCTGGTTTATTGGTTATGTTCAGAAAATTCAGCCAAATCAATAGCCCAAAATATTATATTGAATGGTCCTAAAGCCATTGAGTCTAATATATCAGCCAAAGACACTGTTGAGGATACTGTTCAGAGACATGTCTATTCTCTGAATAAAATCATGATACATGCCATCCACATGGTTTATTAGTCTCTGATTTTAGGCTAATACAGGAACAAAATTACAGTTAAGGCTAGTGTTTTTGTATCTGATCCATATAAATCATTTTAGTGTGTTTATTCCCGACTGATGTGAATGCTTACTTATTTTTCAGATATTACAGAGTGGAAGTAGTGTAAAATCAGGATTTGATCTGTCTATCAGAATCATTAAGGTAAAAGGTGTTTGTTTTTTAAATGTGGACACTCATTTTGTCATAGCCTCCATGGTTTTTTGGTGTTCCAAGATTTTATTCAGACATTGATTTCTTTCAATTTTCAATCCAATTTTGAGCATGTCAGAGCTCAAATGACCATTTGGACCTCAAATCAAACTTCTTCTATCATGTAGTCTTACTATTGTCAATATCTTTGATATTTGGCAAACAGATAGTTATAGTTTAAATCTGTTAATGTATTCCTCTGATGAAAAAGTAAAAGAAACTGCAAGTAAAACAAGTAATCACGAAATATTGAGGCTAATTTTACTCCATTGCACTTTTCTACATGTAAAGATGAGAACAAAGCTCAAACCTTACATGTACATAACGTCTATTATTCTGTTTCTTAAGACTTTTATCAACTGATTATTTTCTAGGAGTGTCGTTTATCAACAACAGCAATTTTTACCCACACATCCCGTGAATTAGCTAAACATCAGCATTATTCCAGTATAAGAGAATTACACAATTTAATTAATCAAGCTGGTTTGGGTGATGAAGAAAGTTTAGATGAAATAATTAGAGCTGCTTTATTAATATTAGCTGATAATCAAGAAGAGGTAAGAGATATTTTAGGAAACAACAATCAGTCAAGGAATTACCAAGACTGAGGCTGGGTAAAATGAAATTTAAATTTTAATAATCTATTATTAAATTTTATAGCGATTAAAAATGAAAGTTACATTTTCTCCAGGGTACCTTTCTTAATGTGAGTTATCTATTACTAGTAGTGAACCCTTCCACAAAGTTTCTTTTCAGCACATAATCATCCATTATAAACTATTATAAAGAATCAAAGCAATGACAGAAAAATAACCCTTGAAAATAAAAAGTTTGACATCCTATTATTTAGGATTTAAAGGATTTCTCAGTTAAAAATATTTTGATTATTATTCGGTTATTGATCAGTAGTCAGCCATTAATAATTAATTTCACGACAATTTGGTAATCTTGCATGTGACATTTTCTGTAAATTCACAGAAATATTTTTGGGTTTTCAGGCCAAAGAGACAGAAAATTTAATAAAATTATTAAAGAAAGATACAAATAAAGTAAGTTTTTTAACATTTACAGCTTCTTTTTGTCCAATCTGTGAAAATATAAACTATTATAAATTGTATTTCTATACATTAAAAGAGTATAATCTATTATACTAGAAGAGTTTTCAATTTTTATGTTGATATGTCCATTGTATTTAGTGTTCTCTGATTAATGTTTAATGTTTTAATAACTGGCCATATTTTTAAATTTGACATTTCAGATAAATGCTTATATCTTGTGTGGAAAACTAAGGTCAGCGTATCTGTTAGCTGTGAAAGGAGAGAGAATTGAAGATGTACAAAGAATAGCTGGAGCAGCACAACGAACAGGCCAAGCTGCTGTTAAAAATATTTGTACAAAATGGCTACAACAGAGAAAAAAGTAATAACATTTGTGTTCTGACTCTCAGTTTATGATAATTATATGCTAGACGAAGTGAAATGTGTAGTTATTTTTTTTCTACAATAGAGGAAGAAAAAGACGTGTAATATTGTATATAAATTCAGCTTTGTATTTAATAAGCTAATTGACTATAACATAGTACTTTAATAGCTGTTGTGATAAAGACAATTTTATTTTATATCAATGGGAAACTGACAGATCAATACAAGTTGTGTTACCTATTATATATTAAGAACCTAACCCACATAGCATTGGCTATTTTGCTGGATTTGAATGTCATCAACTGATTGGTATACATGATATAATCTATTTATACTTAGTGACAGTTAAACATACTGTTCCAAAACTACTAGGTATCATAAGCACTAGTCACGATCTACTACCAATTCATTGTAACAAAAAATTAGTAACAAAAACTATCATCTAAACCCTATGTTTATATGTCATTGTTGAAATTGGCAGAGTTTTTTCAAGCTATCAGTGAAAAAATTCTTTTAAAATTTACTATAATACAATGAAATTTGGTTGTGACTATCATTTGATCAGGTTTTAGTTCATCTGAACTAACTGATTGTTATTTAATTGTTTATAAATTTTATTGTTGAATGCATGCATGAAGATTTTTGTTAAACTGATAACATTTTGTATAATTCAGAAATTATTTAAATATAATTCTACATTACCATATGATTGTCATGTCAAGTGATACCCCATCCTGAGAGTTGAGATATTCTGTCCTGTGAGTTGCGATATTCGGTCCTGTGAGTCGAGATATTCGGTCCTGTGAGTTGAGATATTCTGTCATGTGAGTTGAGATATTCGGTCCTGTGAGTTGAGATATTCGGTTCTGAGAGTTGAGATATTCTGTCCTGTGAGTTGCGATATTCGGTCCTGTGAGTTGAGATATTCGGTCCTGTGAGTTGAGATATTCTGTCATGTGAGTTGAGATATTCTGTCATGTGAGTTTGAAATATTCTGTTTTTTAAGTTGAGATATTCGGTCCTGTGAGTTAAGATATAATCGGTCGTTGAGTTGAGATTTTCTGTCGTGTGAGTTGATATATTCGGTCCTGTGAGTTGAGATATTCTGTCATGTGAATTGAGATATTCTATCCTGTTTGTTGAGATATTTTGTTCTGTGAGTTGAGATATTCTGTTTTGTGAGTAGAGATATTCGGCCCTGTGAGTTGAGATATTCTGTCCTGTGAGTTGATATATATTCTGTTCTGTGAGTTGAGATATTCTGTCTTGTTAGTTGAGATATTCTTTCCTGTGAGTTGAGATATTCTGTCCTGTGAGTTGAGATATTCGGTCCTGTGAGTTGAGATATTCTGTTCTGTGAGTTGAGACATTCGGTCCTGTGAGTTGATATATTCTGTTCTGTGAGTTGAGATATTCTGTCCTGTGAGCTGAGATATTCTGTTCTGTTAGTTGATATATCTGTCATGTGAGTTGAGATATTGTCATGTGAGTTGAGATATTCTGTTATGTGAGTTGAGATATTCTGTCCTGTGAGTTGAGATATTATGTCCTGTGATTTGAGATATTTTGTCCTGTGAGTTGATATAATTTGTTCTGTGAGATGAGATATTATGTCCTGTGAGTTGAGATATTCTGTTCTGTGAGTTGATATATTCTGTCCTGTGAGTTGAGATATTCTGTCATGTGAGTTGAGATATTCTATCCTGTGAGTTGAGATATTCTGTTCTGTGAGTTGAGATATTCTGTCATGTGAGTTGAAATATTCTGCAGTGAGTTGAGATATTCTGTCCTGTTAGTTGAGATATTCTGTCATGTGTGTTGAGATATTCTGTCCTGTGAGTTGAGATATTCTGTTCTGTGAGTTGAGATATTCTGTTCTGTGAGTTGATATATTCCGTCATGTGAGTTGAGATATTCTGTCCTTTGAGTTGAGATATTCTGTCCTGTGAGTTGATATATTCTGTTCTGTGAGTTGAGATATTCTGTCCTGTGAGCTGAGATATTCTGTCCTGTGAGTTGAGATATTCCATCATGTGAGTTGATATATTCTGTCCTGTGAGCTGAGATATTCTGTCCTGTGAGTTGAGATATTCTGCAGTGTGAGTTGATATATTCTGTCCTGTGAGTTGATATATTTTGTCCTGTGAGCTGAGATATTCTGTCCTGTGAGTTGAGATATTCTGCAGTGTGAGTTGATATATTCTGCCCTGTGAGTTGAGATATTCTGTCCTATGAGTTGGTATATTTTGTCCTGTGAGATGAGATATTCTGTCCTGTGAGTTGATATATTCTGTTCTATTAGTTGAGATATTTTGTCCTGTAAGTTCAGATATTCTGTCATGTGAGTTGATATATTTTGTCCTATGAGTTGGTATATTTTGTCCTGTGAGATAAGATATTCTGTCCTGTGAGTTGATATATTCTGTTCTGTGAGTTGAGATATTCTGTCCTGTAAGTTCAGATATTCTGTCATGTGAGTTAAGATATTCTGTTATGTGAGTTGATATATTTGTTAATTTTCACACTGTCTATCTAAAAATTATCTAAGATTTAGAAACTAGTTTCCAAGGTATTTGTATGAACCTATATTTTTAACACAAATATAAACTAAACCAAAACAGTATCACAGATTTTATTTCATAAAAAATTGCAATTAATGGAGGTAAGCAATATGCCAGGAAATAAAATAAATACACACAAAATTTTTATATAAAATTATATAAAACTGTTGGCATAGGAATCAGCAGATGGCAGCAGTTGGAAATTTTGTTTTTCTTGCAGTCAGTCTAACATTTCATGAATTTTAAAACTCCTATGCATATAGATAATATCTCAAACACATGTGGGACTAAACTATAACCATGAGAATTTTACCAAATAAAATGAGAAAATGCTTGTAAAATTTTGTACAAATTTGTTCAAACATACAAAACTCACTTATATAAGGTGAGGCATAATATAAAAAATATACAATATATTCTGAATTCGAAGATGTAAATATACCAACAGATTATCATGAATATTTCATATTGATATCACACCAGAGGTGTTTTAATCTAAGCTAATCATATCAACTCGTTATGCCGTGAACAAAAAGAAAGCATTGGGTCATTAGATGTTTTGATTAATATGAGCGATAAAGAATTTTGTAAAATTTTCGTTAAAGCATTGAAGCTGACAGAAAATCAAACAATCGGTGGAATATTTTGTGGCTTGAAAGAATATGTTCTTGTCTCTTCCAACTGATGGCGGAAAACTGATTTGTGTCTTATGACAAAAAAAACGTGATCTGACTGGTCCGGTATGAATGGCGCCAATCTCATTTCCCATGTGTAGTAGGCTTAATTTAATATGGGTTAATAAGACCATGTCAAAACCTGTATTCAAGATACGATAAATACTGATAGGGAATTTTACTTAAAATATCAAAAAAGAAGGGGTTATGAAAAAAGTTTAAATAATATTTAATTATTTTTAGAAAAATATATTGAGGTACTGCACACAGAAACGTTTGATTTGCTGCTAAGATGTTTTCTCTTTTTGATATTTAAATAGTTTGATTTGGATGGCACTATACACTTTTTTCAAATCTTCCAATTTTAGCCAGGAATGCTACAAAAAAATAATATGTAGTCAATATAACCTGAAAGTAAGTTCATGAAATCATGATAAACATAATAGCAGAAGAAATATAACCTCTATTACATGACAACTCCGGTAGTCTTTGCTATTATTACCCAACTCAAATATTCTTAGCAATTCAGATTTGATTAGGAAATCATAGATTATTTTACCCTGTGTAATGCTAATTGCAAAAATGAATGTCTAGTGCCACTTTGCAGTCGTGTCAAACTAGATAGTAAAATTGACCATTTTCAAGTGAGTACTTACTGTAAACAATGGTCGGATTTCTTTGATTTCTTGAGATTTTTTATCCCCTGTCAATACGCATAAATAAAATGTGACTGTAAACTGAAATAATACATGATAATTTTGAGGTTTTAACAATGATGGCTGAATATTAGATACATTTACCAATCATCACAACTTACACATAGTGGCATCATTAGATTAGATTAAAATCTCGGCTGTCAATTGAAATATTGTTCAAATCTGTCAAGTTTTATTTTATTATAGTACATGTGTGTTAAATTCTCTGTAATAAACCTTTATCATATGTTCAGACATATATATCTATATTGATAACTTGATCTACTTACAGGACGAATTGCCTCATTTATTACAACATCTTTTACACACGAGATTTCTATAAATTCTGTGACTAGAGTACCTAACCAATTTTCACTTTGAATTTGTAGTCCTATGGTTGGTAATACTAATAATCTTTCTAAAATGTAAGAAAAGAAATCTGTTAAAATTTATTTCATGTACATGTAGATGTATAGTCATCTAAGTACATATAATTGCCTAGCTCGACTAAATTAGGAGCTTAATTGAATTAAACCTTGCATACTGTTCTCATTAGTGCTGGCACGATATATATCGGTGAATCAATGTATTGCGATATGACATGCCACGATACGAGGTCACGTATCAATATTTAGAGATACCTTTTATTCCATACAAAAGTGAGGCTTTTTTTTCAGTTGATTTATGATAAAACAATTTTTTTCACTGATATTGTTAGAAACTTTTAATAAGACAGTGGATGCTAACCACTTCTATCAACTATATTACCAAATATCACAGTTATAAAGTTATGAATTAATATATATAGAAACTTTGAAGATAAAATGTTAATTTTTATCCCATTACCCCATATTGCTATATGTATCGTATCAAGATCCTTGTATTGTGACATGATTGACGATACCCGGCACTAGTTCTCATACAATTCAACAATTATTCTTTGTTATACACTTGCATGACAGCCACATAAGGAGATGTTGCAAAATTTGATGCCTTGTGAAAAGAAAAATCTTTGAAAAAACCTTAGAAGAATATTACCTGATATCACTTTTTTATTGAGACGAAGAATTAAAATTATTACTAATAAAAACACAACACCCCAGAGAATAAATAGTTCCTAAAAATACAAAATGACACACAGTAAATAAGAATGAATGGATATAAGAAGTTAATAGTTGCTACCATTATTTTGCCAAACTGTTATTTTGGATTTCGGGTTTCATTGTGCAGTTATGATCAATATGTATAGTTTAATAGTCGAAAGCTTGTCAATAAGTCAAATAATGAGTGTGGTACGAGGACCAAAGGTTCAATTAGACGTATTAACAAGCTTGAGACCATTATTATATAGTAATATAATTTCCTTGACGGTATCAAACTAATAAATTTAGTGTTATGAAGATAATAATAGTGCATTATTTCTAATGGCATAAATACTTTGATGCCGGTATCAGAATTTGTCTCTGATGTAGTAGGTCAGCATCGAAATTTGACTAATTTAAATTAAATTAATTAAAAACAGAGTTCTAATTGCCTAGTTTTGGCGTTTGGCTTTATAATGGCTCGATATTATTAGTTGAAACCTAATAAATACGTAAGAGACATATTTCTCTACATTATTAGGTGTTTATGTTACTTAAATCCATACACAAATTTTCTAAAAACTTCCAAAAAGCATAAAAAAACTTAAAAACCTTAAGTAATGTTTTTAAACTAATTAATTTTTTTTTAGTTAAAACTATCAGGTACATTAAATGGCACAATTCTCTAGATTTTGGTGAAAAGTTTTTACAAATTAGAGCAAATAAATTTTTCGACCTACAAAAAAAGCAGAATGTCCCTTTAAAGGATAAATGTACTGCTACTTTTCTGAAAGGAACACAATAATGGAATTCATTCAAACACTCTAGCGATAAATATTGTTTACCTATCACTTCATATGTTCAGCTAATTATAACAAGCCTGTTTTAATTCTGTTGGGTGGTAATGTACGAGTCTAACAGATTGATACACTCCATTTTAGGTATCTAACATACCTTGATGGCAAATGACCTGAACAATGAAGTTTATACATGAAATGATACCGCAGATTAGGTACGGATATGTGTTTGATCAATCTGCTAGATTTCTAGAGTTCAAAGCTTTTTGAACACATAAGCTTGTATCACCCCCATTTTCTTGTCCTTAATTTGTTCTTCACTTACCTGAGTATAAAGTTCTATAAAACATGCCAAAGGTAGTAGAAAGATGAAACCTATAAACAAGCGTAATAGCTTTAACCGACTGTGTTTAACTGTAAAAATACAGCCCATTTTACCAAAATCTTCTGTAAGCACCTCCATGCATCATATCTTGAAAATATTACACAAAACCAAATAAAAGCATCTGTCATAAAACAATAATGAAAAAAGAGTGTACACTACAATTCTAGCTGTGTGAGTAACATCTCAATACCATAACCATCTATCTTCCAGTCTAATCACAATTTGACCAATTTTTCATTCCACTTTTTTGTTAACTTTTATTTTTAATATAGCCAAAACGTTTAGGAGGGCATTCATTAGATCCTAACTGAGGTAGCTATATCAAAAATGAAATCTAATATCAAAATAAAAATTTGATCAAAGTTTAATGTGACAGAACCATATTAACAGTGTCAATCAATTTCCCCTGTTTACAAGTCGTACAACACCTGCCTGCCTTTAAGAGTTGCATACATGGCATAGCTGTGTAGCATAGTGGCTTTACCTTACTTATTCCATTGCAGAAATTTTTGTCATTATTGACATTGTGACTATGTGGGGTTAATAGGCTAACTGTAGGCACAGTAACACCCTAAATGTCACTTGTACCACATTACACAAATTTGTATCAAAATTGAATAGAAATTCTATAATTGTGGTGACCTATCAGTGTCTAGTCAAGAGAGCCCCGTCGCATAACCATGGGCATGAACATCATATGCCTTAATATCATGATTAACTAAGCCTAGCTGCCTTAGCTTAGCCCATCATTTTATCTTGGCTTACCATGTCTTCTCTTCTCTCCGCCTTCCGCGCCCTTCGCTGGCTTTAAGATTTATATTCAACAATTTATGCCTCAAATTCTAGTACTTTTCTGTCTTGTTTCTCTTGAACTGAGATAAAACATTTATTGTAACATTTATTGTTTATAAACATTTCCAAATTTACAGGTAAAATGTACCTAATGGAAGTTGGTAAGATTATGCTTTAGAACCAAAGCGTACCCAAATGAGCTCGTATTATAATCTAAAAGATCAGCTCTTCTTACTTCTTTAGAGTAGAATTATATTCGGATCAACCATGGATTGGTTGACCTACTCCCTTAGAATAAAGTTATTGTCGGATTAACCCTGTGCCATTTGCCTTATTTCTTTGGAGTAAACTTATAATCAGATCAACCTGTGTGTATGAGTTAAATGATACATGTATAAGATAAACTTCTGGGAACTTCTGTAGATAATTTATAGTCATCAACCTAGGGGCCGTTTGAACATAAATGCTTTCACATTGAAAGAATAACTAAAATGAAAATAATGTTTTAAGAAGACATTATTTCGGACTAAATTGTACCGGAAAGGTTCTTTCTATTTATTTATAGTTACGAATTACAACACCAGTCAAAATGGCGGCTATCGGTCGACTGGTCCGACTTGCTCCAAAAATTAAGGAATTATCTGTATTGCACAGGAGCATTAGCAGAGCCAATGTTGCTTTGAAGCCATTCAAATTGCCCCATTCTCCACTTCAGTCACACAGGGCTTGGTAAGCATGATTTTTTCTTTTGTCAAAAATATTTAATTCTACTACAACTGTACACACGTGCTTACACCTTCAGAATTAGACTGACACTATTTACAAGGTCATTCATTTTGTAGTCTTATTACTATGCTCCAAAGTGTGTGTGTAATGAATGGAAATTGGTCTGAAATGGAATGAAATTAATGTATTTATTTAGAGTTATAATCAACTTGGCTATGTCTTGATGCAGATTGGGGCTTTATTTAGTTATCCAGTTTCAGAGGTCAAACATACATTGGTCTTAGAAACAGTAATTGTTGTTAGCAAAGCTACTTTGTTATAGTATTAACAGCTTACCGTCTAAATTGAGTCTTCTCAACTTGGCTATGTTTTAGTGTAGATTGGCAGATTAAGGCTTTATTTGACATTTTCAGAGGTCAAACAACGTTAAAGAGTAGTACAGTGGTGTAACCTATTTTCGTGCATATAAGGATTCAACACCGAATTTCGTCAAAGTTAAAAAAACGAATTTTTTTTTTTATGTCTTCTATGTTTCGTCAGATATTCTACAAAATAATTGAAATTGGTTTATTCCGATTTTATTTATGAATCCTTCACCTTGACCCATATTTCATGAGCAACCAACTCGGCAACGGCGTCAGAATGCGTCACCTATTTTCGTGTATAAATAAGTCGAGAAAAACACGTTGTATGGATACCGGGTGATATAATTAGCTTCTCTTTGTATTTATCTTAAATAATATCAATTCATAATAACTAGTGACAATTCCTTCAAAGAACCACGATTTTAGAAAAAAATAGTGACTGACAAAGTAAGATATGTAGAGTGATTTATTGCTAAAAGTCACTGAAACAATATAAGAATATGGCCCACTTTGTGTTCCAAAGAAGTTTTCTGCTGATACGGAATCTGCTACTAGCAGATCACGTGACTTTATTCGTTGAAATATATTCTAGCAGACGACACTTGGAATTCCGATTACCGCTTGGGATTATAAGGAAATTCGGCCGATAAAAAATGGTGTCGTTTGGTAATTAGTGAAATCCGCCATTTTGTATTTGTCAAAGTATACATTAATACATTTTACCTTGCTTGAAACTACTGGATTCATTCTACTAGCTGATATTGTAGAGATAACACATGTTTATCAAAACAAGCAAATGCGGAGGTCGCATGTAAATTATTAATCATTTCTGGAAATGCACGAATAAAAAGGTTAGCATGAAATTAGGTTACTTGACTGTATAATTCAATTTCACAATATTAGCAGCCTTGTCCATAGACCGAAATGCCTGTCTCTATTCCAGCCTCTGATAGCTATTTGGTGTAAAGACAGAAATGATAAGCCCTGTTAAATGGGGACATTCTGCATCTGCGCAGGTGCAGGGGTTTTAATATTTAGATATTTTTGTTGGGGCTTATTTCTTAGATGTCGGGGCCCAGTCCTAGTAGACCCCTAGTCATTGGATTTTCTATAGACAAGGAGGTACAGGATTTTATCTATATCATATTAAAACTTTTACTTCTATCCAATTATTATTGTTACATGGCAATTGCAAAATTAGTTTTTCTATATAATATCTTTATTGATTATTTATTTCTGTTTTCCATAGGAATTTAATACGATACTGCTCATCTGAAAGTGTTTTAGTTGGGAATGAATCAGCAGCTGAGTTGGACGAGCAGCATACAGATGCATTTCAATCAAATGATACATACAGACCAGCTCAACAGAGTCAGAGACGACAACCAAGGAATTTTGAAGAGAATGAGACTGAAGTAAGCCGAATAGGCGAAGGCATATCAGAATGGCTAAATATCTATTTTTCAGTTTCAAAGGAAAAGGTTGAAGAATTCCTGAGAGTGGTTGAGACACAAGGTAGGTGTATAATTTTGGTGATTATGTTATTAAGAGCAATATTAAGTAAAAGGCTTAGACAAAACTTTAGAAATAAGCCTTTACTTCTTTTGTAAGATCTAAATGAATATTTTCTCATTTCACACAACAGCAGACAATATTTTTAAGTCCTCATGAAACAGGCCCTTGTTCTTGAAAATGCATTCAATTTATAGCCCGCAAACACTCAAGCAGGCACAATTCTTGATGGATTTTGATGAAACTTGGTGTGAGTGATTATTATCAGCCAAGGATGAACCTCAGAAGAATGAGTTATTGTCCTTGTTAAAGTTTTAGCCTGTTAACAATCTAGAAGGCCCAATTCCTGGAATATTTTTACAAAACTTGGCAATTTTATTCAGTATCGCCTCAAAAATTTCAAAAGAAGTGTATGAATAAAGGTTGAATATTTCATACTGGTAATTGTTACTGTACCACTGCCAAATATTTTTATTTAAAATCAAACCTGCCAGTGGGCGTATATAACTTTGCCTGGCAAGCTATCTTCAAAATAGCTATCAGCGGCTGGATAGAGGCAGATGTTACAGTATAAGGACTAATGCAAAGCCACGAGTAAATGAATAAATTCTCTTCAAAGTCCGATAGCAGCTTTTCTGATGACGATGATAACAATGAAAATAGGCAAGACATCGGTTACAAAATGGTTAACATTTGACACAATAAGGTCAACACAAAGTTAACAAATTTCATACAAATGAGCAGGCTTCGACGCCATGCGCAGGCACATTTTGCCGTATCAAAAATTTCTGCATGCACAAAATTGTTTTGCTTGCAATGATGATAAGCTCTCAATCACATTAAAGTCATATGATCGGATATAAGATATCGTAAAGAAATACATTGATTAAGAAGAGACTGTAACGAAGGGTTTATTTAACATATGTATTTACATAACAACAATTTCCGATTCTAAATATATTGGCCACTGTCAGCATTTTTATTCGCCCACATGAATATGTGGTCGTATATTGTCGTCGCCCCTGTCCGTCGGTCCGTCGGTCAACATTTCTTGTGAGCACTATAGAGACTACAGTTTTTTATATGCCCACATGAATATGTGGTCGTATATTGTCGTCACCCCTGTCCGTCGGTCGGTCGGTCCGACGGTCTGTCCGTCCGTCAACATTTCTTGTGAGCACTATAGAGACTACAGTTTTTATCTGATTTTGATGAAACTTGGTGTGATGATTTAGATTGATAAAATCTCGGTCAAGTTCGAATTTGACATATTTTCGATGAACGGTTTTTGAGATATTGCCCTTGACTTAGAACGCCTTGAAATTTGTTAAAAATTGTTCGTGAGCAGGATTGAAGCTACAGTTTTCATCCGATTCTGATGAAACTTGGTGTGATCATTGGAATTCATAAAATCTCGGACAAGTTTTAACATGACGCATATTCGATGAACAGTTTTTGAGTTATTGCCCTTGACTTTGTTAAAACGCGTCGAAATTTGTTAAAAATAGTTCGTGAGCAGGATTGAAGCTACAGTTTTCAACCGATTCTGATGAAACTTGGTGTTATCATTGGAATTGATAAGATCTCGGACAAGTACTAACATGACGCATATTCGATGAACAGTTTTTGAGTTATTGCCCTTGACTTTGTTAAAACGCGTCAAAATTTGTTAAAAATAGTTCGTGAGCAGGATGGAAGCTACAGTTTTCAACCGATTCTGATGAAACTTGGTGTGATCATTGAAATTGATAAGATCTCGGACAAGTTCTAACTTGACACATTTTCCATGAAATGTTTTTGAGTTAATGCCATTAACTTACGAAAAACGCGTTAAAATTTGTTTGTGAGCACAATAGAAGCTACAGTTTTCAACCGATTCTGATGAAACTTGGTATGATCATTGGAATTGATAAGATCTCGGACAAGTTCTAACAAGAGATATTTTTGATGAACATTTTTTGAGTTATTGCCCTTGACTTTGTAAACACGCGTCAAAAGTTGTTTTTTGCCATTGATTAGAGCTGTGTGATTTAATTGTTTGTTGTATTTGGGTTATTGATATTGATTTTGAAAAATTTTGTGGAATTATTCAGCTTTTTTTCTGACAGCTGCCAGTGGGCGTATGTTACCTTGCAACGCAAGCTATCTTTGAAGTCTTCATGACACGGTCGACTTTGTTTGTTCGATTATAGAAATGAGCGAGAGAAATAGTTCTAGTTACTATCATGGGCAGTTAAAACTTTACACAGTATCTACTGAAACAACATAAATGATAAAGCACAATGAGTTACCGCTAATTTGTCTCACCTTAGACTTTTATCGAGTAGGGCTTAGATTCTGTCTAGAAAAAGAAGAAATAAGTTTGAAGGTATCATGACCTATTCCAATTGTGAACTGGAGTCTTTTGACTGTAGGCGATATAATTTAAAAACATAACTTTCACCCAACTTCTTCATGTCTGAATTCGTATCAAAATTGATTATTTTGAAATATTCAAAAAGCACAATGATCATATTTTGATTTGATGAGGGTAAAACTAC